TGAATTACAGGAGCTGGAATGACCATTAGATTGATTTCAGTTCTATTTCCAGCTGCATCCAAAAAAAAGCGGATCCATTCATGGGATGTGAGAGATTTTTGTGACTTCTCCCTATGAAACCAGTCAATGCAACTTTATTTTAGGAAACCAGGATCTGGCGGAATATCCTTTGCTGATGCAGTGTAAACCTATTAATGTGTGTTTCTCTCCACAGTTCCTCCAAGTGTTGTTGGTTCTAACCCTGAGAATTTGACTGTGGTGGTGAATAATTTCATCTCTCTGACTTGTGAGGTCACGGGCTTTCCACCTCCTGATCTCAGCTGGCTCAAGAATGGAAAACCTCTCAGTTCAAATTCCAACACTTTCATTGTGCCTGGTGAGGAATCTCAGCTATTTCTACAGCCTTTGGGCTCAACTTCTGTGTGGTTTGTCTTGGTAAGGGCCATGGGCACTAGTTATGGAGCCTGTTGGACCTGCAGTTTTAAAATAGCATTTGAGATGAACACAATCCCCATGGGATAAATCTGCAGCCTTCCCTCTTTGCTTCAGGTGCTCGGACGCTGCAGATTCCCCGAGCCAGGCTCCCAGATGATGGGGAATATACTTGCATTGCCAGGAACCAAGCTGGGGAAAGCCAGAAGAAGAGTTTCCTAACTGTCCTTGGTTTGTTTTTTGCTGTTTTCTGCAATAATACCCATTGCTTGGAAAACACAGGGGGTTTATCTGTTTTACTGGGTTGTTTCAACAAAACAAAGGCAGAAGTAACTCTGAGCTTCTCCTGCAGTGCCCCCAAGCATCAAGGACCACAGTGGATCCTCCCTGACAGTGCTGAACGTGCGGGTGGGCACCCCGGTGACGCTGGACTGCGAGTCCAATGCCATCCCACCCCCGGTCATCACCTGGTACAAGAACAGGCTCAGCATTTCCGAGTCTGCCCACGTGGAGATCTTGGCAGATGGGCAAACCTTGCGCATCAAGGGTGCACAGGTAGGCCAGGCCGTGGGGAGGCTGCACCTGCCACTGCTCTGCTGCTGTTAGGCAATTATTTCATCTGTGTTGGTATATTTTACTTGCCGTCGGTAGGAGATGTGTTTGCTGGAGGCCTTTCTTGCTGTGAAAAGGACCTCGAGTTGGCAGAGGCACAGGAGGGCGTTCGTGTCTCTAAACTGTAGGATTAAAATCAGACTCCATAATGATTTCTTTTTGAATATATTTTAATTTTAGGTTTCTGACACAGGCCAATACACGTGCAGAGCCATAAATATTGCGGGGCGAGATGATAAAAATTTCCATCTTAATGTTTATGGTGAGCACTCTCTGCATTATCTACAATAGTTAGTATCAAACCATAGACTTTGTAGATTAGACAATTCAAAACGAGTTTACAAAATATATTTGTTAACCAAACCATTTTTCTTGCTTCTGTTCAATTCCTAGTGCCTCCAAGTATTGAAGGCCCTGAACAAGAGTTGGTCAGTGAATCCATCAGTAATCCTGTCACCTTTGTGTGTGATGCCACTGGGATTCCTCCACCAACATTAGTGTGGCTTAAGAATGGAAAACCAATAGGTAAAACGTTCTCTTCATGCTTTTCACTCCTTGTTTTCCCCTCTTTGAGGTGCCACTGTGCTATTTGCTGTCTGTTGGTTGTTTCTTCCTCATCTGTCTCTACACAGACTCTCCTGGTAACTGATTCCAATCTTTATTTGGAAATTTGGAGGAAAGAATTTCTCCCTAAAGAGATGTTTGCTCCCCATGGCCTGGTTTGCAATGTTGACTTGTTTACATATTTTCAGAAAACTCGGATTCCCTTGACGTTCACATTTTGTCTGGTGGAAGCAAACTTCAGATCGCTCACTCCCGGCTCCTGGACAGCGGGACCTACACGTGTATTGCCTCCAATGTAGAGGGAGAAGCTCAGAAAACCTACGTGCTTTCCATCCAAGGTAAGGGATGAGGGTTCAGTGAGCAGAACTGGTTAAAAATTCAGCGACTGTGACACTGTGTCTCTGCCAGAAGCACTGAGATAACATGAACATGTAGGAAAGTGGAGAATTCAGACCATTATTTGTATGATCTGTGACTGGGGGGGAAATGGTTAGAGGGTTCTACTGCTAGAAATATGCATGGAAAAGAATATTCTTAACCTCTGATTGTGGAACTTGAATGCAGTCATGCAGGCTGTGTGTTTGCTCCTGGTCACATCCTTCCTCCTGCGGAGCACCCGAGCAGCTTTGGAGGATTCTGGAGCACCACACACAGGTGGCTTCAGGAGCTGTTGCCTTTCTTGTCAGAGCAAATGGGAGGAGTTAGCAAAGACATACTGGCAGAATTCCCTTAGGAATACCTTTTTGCCCCCCCCGGCTCCAATGACAATGGAATTGCCTCCACACCCAAAATGGTGGACAGGCGGCTCCTCTTCAGCGCTGCACACAAAATGGCCGCCGCCCCTTCCTGCCCTTGAAGGCCACGCCTCCTCAACACCTTTTAGGGTCAGGCCACGCCCCATTGGCTCCACCCATCTCACCCCCTCAGAACCCCCAAGCTGCCGGAATGGGCTCAAAATGGCCCAAAGTTGGCCACAAATGGCGATTTGCCCTCAAGTTTCCCTTTTTGACCTCTTTCCCCCTTAATTCCAGTTTTTAAAATCCATTTCTTGTGTTTTTTACCCCAATTTCCTTTCTTGTAAAGATAAAATGGGTTAAAAATAAGGGGAGGGGAAGTAACAAATAGTTAAAAAAGGGGAATAAAGAGGTCTGAGGGGGCTCCTGTGGGTTTTGGGGTCACCTGTGGGCCTATGGGGGGGTCCCAGGGCTGGGTTTTCCTCTGTTCCTAATGACTCGTCCCATTAGTTGTGCCTCTGCATGTCAGGTTTTCCCCAAGGTTAGGAATTGAATATGAAGCTGTAAATGTGACTGAAATTGTTTGAAATGCTCAAAATTTACCAGAAAACAGGCTAGAAATGGCTGTGGTTGGGTTGGAATAATCGTGTGGCTGTTAACAGGACTATGATGGTCTTGATCATAGAATCCCAGAATGGTTTGGGTTGGAAGGGACCTTAAAGCCCATCTCATCCCACCCCCTGCCATGGGCAGAGACACCTGCCACTAGCCCAGGTTGCTCCAAGCCCCGTCCAACCTGGTCTTGGACACTTCCAGGGATCCAGGGGCAGCCACAGCTTCTCTGGGCAACCTGTGCCAGGGCCCAGAACCTGTTCCAGGTGCTGCACTAAATGCTGGCACTCCTGAGCTACTGCAGCGGGATTGTTTCTAGTTCAGGTTATGTTTCTGCTGCTGAATCCTCTTCCCTCCATTGTGCTTTTCCAGTTCCTCCCAACATTATTGGCTCTGAGATGCCAAGTGAGGTCAGTGTCCTGTTGGGAGAGAGCATCCAGCTGGTCTGCAGTGCCCAGGGAGTGCCCACACCCGACCTGCAATGGCTTAAGGATGGAAAAACTGTTGTCAGTGATGATTTACAACGAATAAGGCAAGCAAAAATAAGCAGACACTGCATTCTCTTCTATAATTTCAAGGCTCAGAGGGGGAATAAAAGAGGACTCTATGAAGGGAGTGTGAGGAGGGCCAGAATTGGAGCTTAGCCAAGTTAAGAACATCATCTCTCTCTTTAACTTCTATAAATCTTGTATAATTTTTTACTACTTTGGTTTTTTCTTTTTATTTTTTTAACAGAGATAAGTATATGATATTTATTTCTTTCTCAGTTAATAAATTCCATTAAAGTTCATCAGCTTCCTGAAAGTTTATTAAGGTCAATAAGTTCCATTAAGTTCCTTTGGAGGAGAAAGATCTGAGGCATGGAAACATTTTACTTGATGCTTTTCATTATGGGTCCTTCAAAAGCCTGGCTGGAACTGAATCCTAAAACAAAGTTAAACAGATCATCTCTAGGAAAAAATTCCTAGCCTATGTCTAACAATAATATTTTGCAAAACACAATGGTTCTCTCACCAAACTCCCAGGAGGATAGAGGTAGTTATTTAACTGTCCAAAACAGACTGTTTATTAGCCAGGTCAGAGGAATACTAAACAAACTCACTGAGCTTTGTGATTCTCCTTGTAGAGTGACTCCAGATGGCAGCACATTAAACATTTCCAGAGCTCTCAGTTCGGACACAGGGAAATACACTTGTGTAGCTACGAACCCTGCAGGAGAGGAGGACAGGATCTTCAACTTGAATGTCTATGGTGAGTCCTGCCACATGTGAAACCAAAATCTGTGCATAATCTCGTCTTTGTACACACTCCCAAGGGAGAGCCCAGAAAGGAATGTCTGTCTGCAGTGGAATACTTAATACACGTGTTTCCAATTGCACGTACTGTAGATATCACAGTGTATTCCACAGGATGTTCTGTCAGTGACAAAAGCATTGAAATCGCTGGGAAATGTGTTCTGGGATAAACAGGAATTAATTCCTTTAGTGGATTTCATAATAGAGGAATTCTGCTTGTGGTGGTTTTTTTATTTATTGTGGAGAAAGATAAACTAATGGAACAAAAAAAGCAGTATAATAGGAAATCAGCCCCAAGCATATCTTCACTAATTCCAGTCAAAGTACATCAACTAAAAGCAGAGTGGTGTATAGGGAACTAATAGTTAAAGGTCCTGAGTTTAAAAGAAAAATGATGGAGTGTTGAAGGAAATTCTTCTCTTCCACAGAGAAGAAAATTTTGTGAAAAATGTGTTTATTAGGTACAATGACTGGAGTGAAGAGGGGAGAGTTCTGCGTAGGCAGGGTTTCACAGCTGTGCAGGGATCTGTCCCATCATACAGCCTCAGAATGAATGGGAATACAGGCATGAGATGATCTTTGATATAATAAGGAACAATTCTTAGTGATCACATCACATCTTTTGGGAGAGAATGGCTCTGCACAGCAGCAGAGAGTTTTTTGTTCAGTTTGCATTGGTTGAAATTCAAGCAATAACCAACTTAAATGGTCTTATCGACACAACTGTGGTGTGTGATTGGGTGGTGAGTGAGCCAGAGCTTGGGGCTGCACGTGGCCGGGCCTTCTTTGTATAGTGAACCCTCAAGAGCATGGTTTTCACACTAACCTATAAAACCAAAAAGGCCCCCAAAGCAGTTCCGTTGTATAATCAGCTGGAATACTTAACTAGGGATTTTGAAACTTCCTCTGTTTAAAAATGAAGGCAGCAGATAAATCTAGGTGTTAATAAATTAACTTTCCTCCTGTGTGGCTTCCCTGTATTTAACTCTTATTGAAGGACATAAGTTTAAGTGCCAGGTCCTTTCTGTCCCCTTGAGGTTGGGCCCTTCCTGCACTGTCACTCTCTTCCCATGAGCTTCAGGCTCTGAGCTCCCTCTTGTTTGCCACAGCCTGACAAATCAAAGAGAGGATTCTACTGTCATTCTAAAGTGCATCTGATTTTAAATATGTAACTGGGTAATTTATTAGTGCTCAATATTATTGTTAGAGGTTTTACTCTATTAAAAATGAGGATCATCTTACTGGGTTACCTCTGGGGTCTTAGGTGCAGGATTTCCTGCAAGGTAACACATGAGCAATAATTTTAAGAGTCTCTTTTAATATCTTCCTTTTCAACATTTACAAAATGTAGTGCCTCCAGCAATAGCCAATAGTAAAGCTGAAGCAGAGGAGCTCACTGCCCTTTTGGACACCTCCCTAAATATTGAATGTACTGCTTCTGGGACCCCCCCACCACAGCTACACTGGCTGAAGAATGGCCTTCCTCTCTCTGTCTCCTCTCAAATCAGGCTGCTGTCAGCTGGGCAGGTTCTCAGGTTGGTTTTCATCTATTTTGACTATCTCAGTTTTCTGTTCTCATTTACTGTATCAGCATAAATCTTCTAGTATTTTTGGAAGCAAGAGGAAAATTTGGTCTAAGCCATGCCATAGTGGATTCCATGTATTCCATTTACAGCTTGCTTAAAATGCTTTTCTCCTTAGACTTGCCCGAGTCCAGATCTCTGATACTGGTGTGTACACTTGTGTAGCATCTAACAGGGCCGGAGTGGACAACAAACATTACAACCTGCAAGTTTTTGGTGAGTTCCACTGCAATGCTTTATGCAAGGAATCTTATTTCTTAATTTCTTAAACCAGTTTTCTTTCTCACCAACACCATGTTGCAGACAGCCACAAGTATGTCTTATAATCACGAGGGAAGCATTGGCTTTTCAATGTGTTGGGGCTTTTCTAAATGGAAAGTGTTTTAACCCTAGAAGAGTCCTTACTTGAACTGTCACCCAGAATCCCAGAATGGTTTGGGTTGGAAGGGACCTTAAAGCTCCTCTAGTTCCAAACCCCATGACGCATCACAGGTTTTTTAGAAAGAGGAATAATATATAATTCCTCAGTGAATTTTTACACATGAATGCGAGTGGGGAAATGCAAAAAGGTGGCTGCATTCCAGCTGTCTGCCATCCAGAAGTGCCCTGTGGGCTGTGCCGTGTGTGACCCAGCTCTCCGTGTCTCGGCAGTGCCACCGAGCCTGGACAACGCGGGGGGCACGGAGGAGGTGACGGTGCTGAGGGGCAATGCTGCTGCCATGGAGTGTCTCGCTGATGGCTCTCCTGCCCCCTCCGTGACCTGGTTCAAAGATGACCATCCCCTGGGCCTGGGGGCTCACCTGACCTCCAGCAACCAGGGCATGGTCCTTCACCTGGTGCGGGCAGAGCCCGGGGACACGGGCACATACACCTGTGTGGCCTCCAGTGCAGCCGGAGATGCCAGCAAGCGCTTCATCCTCAGCGTGCTGGGTGAGTGTGAACCTGGGAGTGCAGCAAATGGGAGCAGTAACGTCACATTCAAATCATCTCTAGGGATAAGGAGGATTTTTATAGACTCATAGAATCTGTCTGTTCTATTCAGAGTGGTTTGGGTTGGAAGGGACCTTAAAGCCCATCCAGTCCCACCCCCGCCATGGGCAGGGACACCTTCCACTAGCCCAGGTTGCTCCAAGCCCCATCCAACCTGACCTTTTCAATAAATGATAAATGAGAGAAATAAAGAAGTGAAAGATGCCTAAAAAGATGTGAATGTATAATATAGTATATATATTTCCCAAGTACTGAAATATGCTGTAATTAATACAACTATATGCTATAAATTAAGCAGAAATTCAGCTTGACAGGAAGATGCACAACTGAAAGTACAACAGTGAATATATAAATATATGAATAAATATATTCACTGAAACTGAAAAATATATTTTACCTGTGATTTTGAAAACATTTTCTAATGAATAATTGCAACTCATAAAATATGCAAATTAATAGGCAGAGGCAGAAGGAAATTACCTGAGTTACTCAGGGAGTTCATGACACACTCAGAAATAATATTATGTAGACTAATTCTACTAAATCTACCCCCAAGGCTATATATGATGTTTTATAGGCTTTTACAATCAGTTGGTTTAGGTTTTTTGAGTCACTAAAGAACTCGAATGTGTTTTTTCTTCTCCAGAGCCCCCTCACATCAATGGTTCAGATGAACCAGAAGAGCTCTCAGTCATCGTTAACAACCCACTTGAACTTCTCTGCATCTCCTCTGGTGTTCCAGTGCCCAAAATCTCCTGGATGAAGGATGGGCGCCCACTTCTGCAGACTGATCATGTTCATGTGCTGAGAGAAGCCCTGAGAATAACCAGTGCTCAGGTGGAGTATTTGTGTCAAGATAGGCTCAGATCTGCATTCCCAAAAGAGTGCCTGCCTTAGGACTGTCCTAAGAGATGTCCTAAAAACCTGCTACAAAATCACCTTGCCTTGGAGTTTCCCATACAGAACACACAGTAATATTCTGGGATGAGAGTGCCCAAGCACTTCAACCTCTTTTGGGCTTTATTACTTCATGTTCACTTCAGAGTTCCATAGTTTTTTTATTTATTGGTGCATTGTGTTACAAAGCAGAACAATCAATGCTGGGACTAATCATTTTATGGTTTAAATCTGTCTGTGATCTGTTCTTGTTCATTTTCTACCTATTTGACTCTTGTTACTATCCCTTGCTTTTCTTTTGTGATTTATAGTTCCTCTTCAGCCTTTCTTCTCTTCCCATTAGCTTGGATTTTCCTAAAGCCATTTGATGACACAGAAAAGCTGCATTTGCAGCCTTCTGGCTACAAGTTTGGAAAAAATAGGTAAAGACACTAGAAAGACTTTCAGATTAATTCATACAATAAAAGAGTCCAGGAAAACAACCTTTAAAAACCTGCACCATTAAACTAAAGACTGGATCCAACTGTGGGCAGCCAGGTGAAGTTCCCACAGCAGTGGGATAGGGCTGGGGATTCATTTGTCTGTATAACAAACACTTCTTGGCTTTACAATGAGGAGTTTACAGGAAGGAGAAACCATAAAGGATTTAATGACTGTGTGTGCACAAAAGGATTTCCTTAGTACCCAAACCTGACCCTTTCTTAGATTGATCCCACTGCCAGTTCCATCTTTATTGCTGGAGACACATTATCTAGAGAGATTTGATGGAGGCCTGCAGCTCCTAAGCCATCTCTGAACAATCCCAGCATGGTAAAATAATGAACTATTCAAGAACTTCATTTTCTTTCCGGGCATTCCTTATCTGCTGTGTTTGTGTTCAAGTGCTGCCTGTTATATGTTGATGCCATGTTTGTATTTCCTGGTTTTGCTGAATTTTTCCCACATTCTGAGGTTTCTGCTGAAGTTGTTCCTGTCTTTAGGTGGAGGACACGGGAAGATACACGTGTTTGGCATCGAGCCCAGCAGGGGATGATGATAAGGAATATTTAGTACGAGTGCATGGTAAGTTCAATTTAGGAAAAAAAGTTATTCCTTCAAAGTGTGAACTGCTAAGGTAAATCAGCATCTCATTTAACAAGGACATATTCTGTGATATTGCACCCTATGATCATAACTAACGTTTCTGAACAAGGATAGTTATTCTGAGCGTGGTACACAATTAGAAGGGAAAGTTCCACCTGATTTCTGTTACAATTCCAAGTCCTGTTTTTGAATACTAGGATGTTTATTGTGGAAATGAGATGAAATATACTGATACATTTAGCACAGGCATTGAAAAGTAGAACTAATTAATGATATCAAGCCATCGCATTTATTTTAAACTTCAGAACTAAGTTGGAAGTTTTCAATAAGGCGTTTTTGTGATAGCACATGTGTGGTGTTGATTTTGTTTTCTGTTCCAGTTCCTCCCAACATTGCTGGTACTGGTGGGCCCCAGGATGTCAGTGTGCTGCAGAACAGACAGGTCATTCTGGAGTGCAGGTCGGACGCTGTGCCCCCTCCCACCATCTCGTGGCTGAAGAACGGAGCCCTCCTGGAGGTACAGAGGTTCCTTGTTTGCACTGGCTGTTGGCTCCCTGTAGCTGTTACACACAGTGCCTGAGGGTTCTTGCTCCTCTCACTCGCCCCTCCCGTGCAGCACATGAGCTCCAGAGAGCTGAGTAGCCCCAGCCCAACTCCAGGTAGCCCTGACTGAAGCCAGCAAACCTGTGAAGTGGCCATCCCGCTGTTACTTGTTCTTTTTTCCTTTAGGGGGATCCCTTGCTCCTCCTGGATCCTCTGAGCAATGCTAGAAGCCTTCGGTAAACTCCTGAATGGCTTCCCAGGAAAGGTAGCTGAGAAAAGACTACACTATATGTTTCCTTTGGCTATATTATGCATCCTCCTACTCTAGTAGCATTTAGAAAGGAAATGAAGTTCTTGCAAAGCAAATGGGTTGCTAATCACCACAGTTTTGTACCAAATGCATCTTTTCCACTCAGAATTCCATAGTGGAACCAGTCTTTGCTGGTTGAGAGACAATTAGCAGGATGAGGATGGTTTATACAGAAAGAATTTTTCACTTCCCATCCTTGGGATCACTCACAAAACAGGTGCTACTCAACTGAACACTGAAGTTCAGTTATTGATTGAACTTATTTGATAATTTTCCCTCAGTTGGTCTTTATTCTTTAATAAGAGGAAACAAATTCAGCTTATGAATTGTGTCTCCCTTAACTCTGATCCATCACTGAATGTTCACCCAAATTTCTCCTTGTTTGCTTTCCTTTTGACATACCATTCCTCAGACTCTTTCTCTAGTGTAAATTTAGAAGAATTAAATATTACTGGAAGAAGTAAGAATATGGTGGGTGAATATGTCTTACAAGCTGCTGCTAGAGACTGTGATCTTGAATATGGCCCAAGAACCAGCTAGAAACAAAACTAACAGAAACCTTCTGCTTCTGAACAGTTAATTTCTTAATTGGGTACTGGGGGGTTTTATGAAAACAAGGTTGAACAAGGCTTGGAAATGAAATATATGAATACTTTTTGCCTTAGTCTTCATTGGAAAGCTCGTGTTTTAAAAGCAGTACTTAATGAAAACAATGCATGAAAGGCAGCCACTGTTAAAAATATTCACCAGGGCTCAAAGCAGGAGAGGAAGGCTGTGATGACCATAGGCACTGAGCTGGGAACCTGAGAATTAGCTTTATATAATGTGAGTTCTCCTCTTGCCTCGTGAATTGATGTCTGTATGTGAGGGCTGAGGCTTCTTGGGGCCTCAAAGCACATCTCATTCCAACTCTGCCCTGGGCAGGGACACCTGCCACTAGCCCAGGTTGCTCCAACCTGGCCTTGGACACTTCCAGGACTGGGGCAGCCACAGCTTCTCTGGGCAACCTGTGCCAGGGCCTCCCCACCCGTGAGCCTGTGTGAAGACACATTCCAGATATCAGGAGAACATCAGTGTCCTTCCCAATGCCTGGTTGCTTTCTCAACCTCAGGGAAACGTAATAGCCTTCTATTACTAAAAAGCTGGGAAAGGGGTGCCCTTGGTGTGGAAAGGGAGGTGCTTATTGACATATCATCCTCCTTATCCTGGAAATGTTGAGGTTTCACAGTGACAACAGAAGTTTGGGGAAAGTCATGTTCTCAGGTTGCAGTGTTATTTCCATTTATATTATCACTGCTCTTTGGGAACAGCCTTGTGGTTTTTTTGTCTTCCACTGGGCAGATTTTGAGGTCTGCACTAGTATGAGGTCTGCTCTAGTCCCCTTCTGCATCCTAAATGATGGAATTGTGCAGCACCACCTTTTTTGGTAGCAGAATTGTGGGAAGATGTGACCTCCAGCAGCTTTAGAGTCCTGGCACTCTTCATAGATTTGGAAATGCACATTGAGAGTTAACAAAAGATGTAAGCAGAAGCCTCTTGACCTACTCTGGCTTTATTTAACTTGCTGAATTTGTGTTTTTTCCAAGATAGGTTTTCTAACATACTTGAGTAGAGCATAAGGATTAAATTATAGCTTTACCCCCTGTCTTCTGTCATCTATATGCCTCTGTGTTTAGAAACCATCACATAGGCTGTGTTCTGAACAGGAAATACCAGTGATTACCCAAAATCTGTCTCTAATCCACTCTGGGGGTGACTCATGTCACCGGAGAGGTTCCAGCCCTGCTGTGTGTCTTGCATTGTAGGCCTGGAGCTGGTGTCTGGTATGAAACCAGTGTTCCAGTGTGCCAGTGAGAACCAGAGTGTCACCTCTCTGTAGTGCTCTGCTCAGACCCTTAGGCAAAACAGTAGATGGGAATGTCAGCTTTCAATTCTATCCACAGGGTGGGTAGCACACACTGGAAAAGCTTGAATTCCTGCTCTTTTTTCTACTGGGTTGTATCCACTCAGGTCTTTGAGCACTTGTAGCTGGTGTTGCTGTCAGTCATTCATGCAGACTGGCTGTGGTAAGAAAGCTATGACTGAACTGCCCTCGTGACAGGGGCTGTGGAGTCACTGTAGGGCTGGGAAGAACTGCTGGATATCTGGATACAGAGTCTGTATCCAGAACTGTGGCTAGTGAACTCCTGGCTGGTGAACTTAGCTGGCTAAGTCTATCCTGGCTCCCACCTGAACAAGACTACGATGCTGGAAAAACAGTGTAGACAAACTTGTATTCGTTCTGCCTGTAGCATGCATAGATTAAAAAAAAAATAAAAAAATGAATCCTGTGTTATTAGTTGCCCCTTTCTATAAAAACTCCCAAGCCCTTTGGCTGTACAGCCCAAAAGGCTGTCTCCTTCAGGCACAAGTCCTAGGAAGGGTTTCAAGGGGGAACCAGTAAGCAATGATAGTTTTTTAAAACTTTGCTTACCCTCTTCTCTTGAGGGATGTAAATGAAGTTAAGCCAGCAATGAATTATCTATGCCCTTCTTTCATGGTTTTCATTGCTCTGCAATGAGAGAATGTTCTGTCTTCACCAGGAGGACGATGGTAAAGCTCTAAATGTGTCCATATGTCTGTGTGTGCCCTCAGGGAACGCCGCGGGTCCGGATCCTGTCGGGCGGGCGGTACCTGCAGATCAACAATGCTGACCTGGGGGACACAGCCAGTTACACCTGTGTGGCCAGGAACGTGGCAGGAGAGGTGACCAGGGAGTTCCTGCTCACAGTGCATGGTAAAATCACGGATCAGCCTTGTGCACCTTCATCTTTGCATGGCATTTCTGCGGGAGTTCAGGCAGCCGGAAGCAGATATTAGTGGTCTTTTTCCAGCCACATGTTGGCCACTCAGGCCATGCCTCAACTGTGGGACTGTGTGTATGGTCTCATGTCTGAGTCCACAGCTGTCCCCAAACTAAAGGACCTGTTGGGGGCTCCCCTTGGCTCACTCTCCATCTGTCTGTGCTTCCTGCTAGTGGAGCTGCATCTGGCCATCATCCCGATAGGGAGTCAGGATACATCCAGAGTGAACCCCCAGATACAGGACTGAGAAATGCTCCTGGGCTAATTCAGAGAGATTCTTTTGAAAGGATTTCACTGGCCCCTTGGGGACAGGGTTTCACAGCTGGCTTGGCCACTGGTTTGGCAGGTTCCTTGAAACCTGTGGCAGCTTCTCTGCACCTGCAGCAGGAGAGGGCAGGGCCTGAGGGGCCCTGTGCTCCATACTTGTCCTGTGCTACCACAGCCCTGAGCTCCATTTTAGACCTGTTTATTTTCTCACCTCCAGTCTGATAAGAAACTCTTCTGCTCTCACACTCGGGTGATGAGAAGGAGTTTTTTTCCCTATTTCTGTTTGATTCCCACCCCATAACTTGCAGAGCTGACCTTTGCAGTGCATTTCAGTCAATGTTTCTTTCTCCTCCCCTGCTGCGCCGTGGCAGTTACCGTGTGCTGCCCAAAATGGTAAGAAACTTATTCCTGTCTTTGCAGTGGTCCCAAACCTGCTGCTGCCTCTATTTTCATGTGTTTAGTTTCAATCATTGCAGTGTACAGTTATTTTCTTTGCATCATCAGCAGTTTTCCCTCTGCAGTGGCTCCCACAATCCGGAGCGGTCCCCAGACTGCCGTGGTGCACATCAATGCTTCTGCCCTTCTGGAGTGTGCTGCACGAGGAGTCCCAGCCCCCAGAGTCACCTGGAGGAAGGATGGGGCTGTTTTTACTGGAAACAATACAAGGTATTGTCCAGAAGTCAGCATAAATGTTCCTCGTTGCTATTTAAGAATATATTCATTACGGAAAGTGTAATTAGACATCTATGACTTAGAAAGCAATTTTGTTTTCACAGATCAGAACTAATATTTATACTCTCAAATGTGGAAAAATAACAGTGATAGAAAGTGTAATGTCATAGAATCATAAAATCACAGAAGGGTTTGGGTTGGAAGGGACTTTAAAGACCATCTTGTTCCAACCCCCTGCCATGGGCTGGGACCAGAAGTTGTTCTACAGAAAAGTAGCAGTACCAAAGGTTTCAGCCTTTTATTGTTAAGGACAAAAACCCCCTCTTTTTAGAGCCAAATGTAATAGTAATTCTTCTAATGAAGATTTTGAGCAGTAAATGTGAATGACTTTATATATATATATATGTATAGAGAGAGTTTTGGGATGAAGAAAAGCAATTTCATGTAGGCCAAAAGCTACATGTGTAGGAGTGTATTCTGTATTTTCTAATACATAAAGCTTTTCATACACGTTCTAGTACCAACTTTTATACTAGTGAATGGTTTCTATCTTCTGACTGTTTTAAAGGGAAGCAGTTTGGCATTTTCTAGAACTGAGCAAATGTGAGGAATTCAGTTACATTTCGAAGAAAAAGTCCAAGCGTTAATTAGGGTTTATTAAGGTTAAATGAGAAACCATAAAAAAGGAGTTTGGCCATTTTCTGTAAATCCAGTATCATTTATGTGAAATCACTATGTCAGCTAGATTTCATCATTCCTCTGGGAAAAAGTGAAGTCAGAATACGTGCAATAAAGGAGAAAACTCTGTGTGGACAAATTGAGACACCCCGTGTTTAGGCCACTGGTTGTGTCCTGAGTCATCTTTCCTCAGCACTGCCAGGATAACCCGTGGCCCTGTTGGTTGGAGAGTGGACAGCAGTGTTTGGCTTTGTTTCAGGTACTCCCTGTTGGAGGATGGGTCCCTGCACATCCCCTCAGCACAGGTTGCTGACAGCGGCAGATACGTGTGTATGGCCACCAACAGCGCCGGCACCGAGCGCAGGAGGATCGACCTGCAGGTCCTGGGTAAAACTGGGGCCTTACAGCTCTGAAATACACTTATATCCATTTTAAATCAGCCCCTTTTTAACTGCATTGGTAAAAACAAACAGAGAAGAAATGTCCAGCCTTAGGAATATAACCCAAATGTTCATGAGAAGAAAATATTTATTCCTTGTCTTGAACTAGAAGGACCTGACACATCCCATGCTACCTGTTTAGTAGGTTTATTACTGTCAAGTTACTCCTTATAAAAATTAAGTCAATGTGTTCAGACAGTTCAGCTCAATATATTTAGATGTGAGAGAGGTGTATGGGCATATATATATATCTGTATAATTATTCTGAATAATTAGGCTTTGTTTGTCCTTAGTTCCTCCAGCTATTGCTCCTGGGCAGACGAATATCACAGTTACTGTAAATGTGCAAACCACTTTGCCTTGTGAAACCACCGGAATTCCCAGACCAGCAATTAGCTGGAAAAAAAATGGGCACCTGCTTAGTGTTGACCAGAACCAGAATACATACAGGTGAGAGGTGTTTTCTTTTCCCTGTGGGTTTAAAGTTTTTAGGGATGATTTTGGCACTTTAAAAATCTAGCCATGCATAAATGTAATCTTATGTAGCCAGCAAGTTCAGTGGGCTGATGACCTGAAAAGGAAAGAAGTGTTTCAATGGCTTTCACTTTCTTTTTTCTTTGTTCAGACTTCTGTCTTCAGGTTCCTTAGTAATCATTTCTCCCACTGTGGATGACACTGCTGTCTATGAGTGCTCTGTGTCAAATGATGCAGGAGAAGATCAAAGAGCAGTTGAGCTCACTGTTCAAGGTAGAGGGGATATTGCTGTTACATGTGTGTGGCACCCAGCATTTCTTTGGGGCGTTCCAATGTTGAGATGAGATTTTTATTTCATTTCTTTATGATACTGATATCCATAAGTCTCTGGTATTCCCAAGAAAGAGAAGTTATTTCCAAGAATTTATAAAAGTGAACGTGGGCAAGTAACCTTTGCACTGCTGTTCATTTCCAGTGCCCCCATCTATAGCAGATGAAGCCACAGAACTTCTGGTAACAAAGCTGTCCTCAGTCCTGATTTCCTGCACTGCCTCTGGAGTTCCTGTCCCCTCACTCCACTGGACCAAAAATGGCATAAAACTGCTTCCCAGAGGAGATGGGTACAGAATTCTCTCCTCAGGTACTGTGCTGCAGAGAACCAGTGGGAGGGTACAGTTGGGCACATCTTGAAGTAATTTATTACCTCAGTGCAAACAACCCCCCGAAATCCCCTCTCCGATATCTCAGAATAAAAATATGGCCCTCCTGGGAGGGATGCTGAGGGAGCAGTGTGTGAATGGAGGATGCAGCTTGTGTTTGATGCTGTCTGTGCCCCAGGAGCTGTGGAGGTGCCCTCTGCCCAGCTGGCCCACGCGGGCCGCTACACGTGCGTGGCCCGGAACGCCGCCGGCACTGCCCACAGGCACGTCACGCTGCACGTACAGGGTAAGAGGGGCTGCCAGCACACAGTGCTCGTTCAGCCTGCTCAGGTTAGGCACTTTTAGTTATTTTCTGTATTTTTCTAGCCTTGAAGGTTCAGCCTGTTGCCTTTCCCTTTTTCCACAGAGCCACCAGTTATCCAGGCTCAGCCAGGGGCGTTGGATGTCATCATGGACAATCCCATCGTGCTGCCGTGTGAGGCCACGGGCACCCCTCAGCCGGTGATCACGTGGCAAAAGGAGGGCATCAACATCATCACCTCAGGTATCCTAACCCTGGAACTCAACCTGCTTGCTGTGACTCAGGCACTGACATTCTCGTTTCTGATGTTCAGGCTTGGGTTCCTCCTGTCTGTTTGTTTAAAAACAAAACCCAAACCAAAAGGGTCATACTTTGCTTATATTTGTTTTAGGCAACAGTTACACGGTTCTTCCAAGTGGCAGTTTGCAGATTGCCAGAACAGCTGTGGAAGATGCTGGCACTTACATGTGCGTTGCTCAGAATCCAGCTGGCACTGCTCTGGGGAAGATCAAACTGAAAGTTCAAGGTAAATCATCTTTTAAACTCTTTCTGTTTGTCCAAGCACGATTCTGAGCAATTGAAAGGGACCTGGTGCTTTCCTGTTTGCCATGACACTGAATAGAGCCCAGGAGGTTTATTCCCTTTAGTTCTGTGTCTACTTTAGGATCAAAATATGCTTTTAGGAGTATTTTCACTGAGAGCAAAAGCATTCCATGTTTCTAATTCTTTAAATAATGTCTTAATTCCTTTCAGTTCCTCCTGTTATCAAGTCCCACCCGAAGGAATACGTTGTTCCCGTTGATCAGTCTGTCACTCTGCAGTGTGAGGCTGAGGGCTCCCCTGGGCCGGAGATCAGCTGGCACAAGGACGGGCAGCAGATCCTGGAGTCTCTGAGGAGGAGGGTGCTGAGCACTGGTGCCCTGCAGATCGTGTTTGTGCAGCCCGGGGACAGCGGCCGCTACACCTGCACAGCCACCAACGCGGCAGGGGCCAGCTCCTCCAGCACGGAGCTGGCTGTGCACAGTAAGGCATCCCTGCCTGCATGGGGGAGCCACTGCAACGGGGGGGCCAGGGAGGGTGGCCACTCCCCATCCCTGGAGGTGTCCAAGGCCAGGTTGGACGGGGCTTGGAGCAACCTGGGATGGTGGAAGGTGTCCCTGCCCAGGGCAGGGGGTGGAATGAGATGAGTTGGAAGATCCCTTCCAACCCAAACCATTCTGGGAATCTATGATAAGTGGAACCGTGGGGAAATGGTGTGTGACCCCATGGAAAGTAAGGAGCTAGGATGAACAGGAGGAGCTCAGGAAAATTGTGCAACTTAATAGGGGAGTGTTACTGGGTTGTAGTATCAGCCAGTTGCTTGAATTTAGGAATGTGGTCATTGGTGGTGTCACTGATGGAGATGGACAATACAGGAGATTCAGGCAGTGTTCCCTTCAGTCCAGTGTTGCCTTTACAGGAGTGCTGGGATAATGCACAAAGGTAAATTTTTGTAACAAACCTCTCCACAGTTCCCCCCAGGATCCGCAGCACGGACACACAGTACACGGTCACGGAGGACTCCCAGGCTGTCCTGTCCTGTGTGGCTGATGGGATTCCAGCACCAACAATAAACTGGAAGAAGGACAACATGCTGTTAACAGAGATAGTGGGAAAATACCAGACTGTGCCAGGTGGAGACCTCATTTTGGACAATGTTGTTGTAAGTTCCCTCAATCTAAGCTATTACTGGACAGGTTTGGCAGTGATAAAATCCACCTCTGGATTAGCCAAAGTTTTATTTTGATTTCTTGTTCTTAATATTACAAAGTCTTTATGAAAGTTTTGTTTTCCACTGAGGAGTAAAACCTGTGAAGAATTTGTAGTGGTAAATTCTCAGGAATGGTGAAAAGAAGTGTTGGTCATACTTCGGATTTAGAGAAGTGAAAGAGCTTGGCTGAGCATTTCTGCTGAATGCTTGTTCCAGCCCTTTGGAGATTCTCTTCCTGGTAGGAGTTGCAGTGTTGTGTAGGATATGTCACAGCTGAAATTGCCCCCACATGTTTCCTTGCAGCCTGAAGACTCTGGTAGTTACACCTGTGTGGCTGCCAATGCTGCCGGGGAGGACACACACACGGTCACCCTGACAGTTCACGTGCTGCCAGCCTTCACTGAACTGCCTGGAGATGTAGCTTTGACCAAAGGAGAACAGCTCAGGTTAACCTGCAAAGCAACTGGGAAACCTGTACCCAAAATAACATGGACCTTCAACAATAACATCATTCCAGGTGGGTAACACCAGGTCCCTGGTGACCATTCTGCTCCAGAGTTTTCTCCCGTGCAGCATTGCAGGGAGTTTAAGGTAAGGAAGAAGAAAAATCTAGAGGGAATAAGCTTGTTAGTGATTGTGTGAGGAATATCCTCACTGTTACGCAATCATATAATTAAATGGCCTTTGAGACAAAGCTGTAAGGAAAATAATTAAGAAATTGTTCCTCTTCTATAGCCAACAATGTAGCACATTAAAACACTCAGTATCTGATGATGCTTACTCAGCATCCAGCAACTAATAAACAAAACTAAGGAACAACCTCAGTGAACAGATGCATGTGGGCAAATGTCATAGCAGTGGCTTTCTGTGCACTCCTGGGGTGTCTCAGAACTGCAGTGTCACGGGGCCCTGAGCAGTGCTGCTGAACAGAAACCCTCTGATGGCCTGTGTGTGTCAGGCCCGGCAGTGACCCTGTCCCTGTGCTCCCCCCAGCTCAGTACGACGATGTCAATGGACACAGCGAGCTGCTCATCGACAGGGTCTCCAAGGACGACGCCGGCACCTACGTGTGCACAGCAGAGAACACAGTGGGCTCCATCAAAGCCATTGGCTTTGTGTATGTCAAAGGTACGTGAAGTGCCAGCAGCTGTGGGCACTGTTGGGCAGTTTCACAGAGTTTCACTGTTTGGAGAGTGGAGTTGGAATGCTTTGGGTTGGAAGAGTCTGTAAAACTCACCTCATTCCACTTGCTGCCGTGGGCAGGGACACCTGCCACCAGCCCAGGGTGCTCCAAGCCCCGTCCAACCTGGCCTTGGACACTTCCAGGGATGGGGCAGCCACAGCTTCTCTGGGCAACCTGGGCCAGGGCCTCCCCACCCTCACAGGGAACAATTCCTTCCCAGTATCCCATCTGACCCTGACTTCTCTCAGTTTAAAACCTTTCCCCCTAGCATTTGATACCTCATCTATGGCTAAATGGGAAACACTGAAACAGGTTGAAATTCCCACTTGAGAAAGTCCGAGGTGAATGATCCCAACCAGCAGTCTCACTGAGTGCATTTTATTTTGCCTCTGCTGTTTCTCGGCTATCCCTGGTGTTCCAGAGCCCCCAGTGTTCAAGGGGGATTTCCACTCCAGCCGAATCGAGCCCTTGGGGGGCAATGCCATGTTGAACTGTGAGGTCAGGGGAGATCCCCCTCCAACCATCCAGTGGAGCAAGAAGGGAGTTGGGGTTCAAATCAGCAACAGGATCCAACAGCTTATCAACGGTTCCCTCGCCATCTACGGCACCGTGGTGAGTCCTGCTCTGCTGCCAGGAGCTTCTGTCTTGTACTCGTGTTATTCAAAGTGTTCCAAATCACATCATTTGGAAAGAGTGAGGCCACACATTTAATCCACTTTTGCTTTTACCTTTAACAAATGTTTTAATTCAGGCTAGAATTAGACTCGAAGTACTGAGACCAAAAAAGAACAGGGGGTCATAGTTCTCTGTGGTTGTCGGAAGAACTGAATCTGTGTGCTAATTGTTGGTGGGTTGGTCATGCCCAATTAAATGGGACTTTTGCTTTTAACCTTAGAAGAGCCTGGATTCTACAAAGTCAGGTCAGCAAGTGCATTCTTCTTGTGCAAATATCTCAGCATCTAAATTCCTAATATGAAGAGTAAGACCTTTTTTTCCCCCATTAACTCTTGTCTGTGTTTTGAAATGGGGTTAAAAACAGCAACTCCCTTGAGTTTCTTTAAGTTTAAAAAATTAATTTGATCATCAGCATGGAGGAGTTGAAGGAAATTAAAAATGGAATAATAAAAATAATGCACCACATCAGCTTACTCTTAATTAAAAAAGACAAAACGTTGAGGTACTCCAGGATCTAACAGCAGAGCCCTTCAGATCCAGGGAGTGCTGCCTTGAGTCACAGAAAATTCCCTCTCCAGAGGGGCTCTGAACAGTGACCCCGTTTTGTTCTGCAGAACGACGATGCTGGTGACTACAAGTGCGTGGCTACCAACGAGGCCGGGGTGGTGGAGCGCAGCCTGACCCTCACGCTGCAGAGTAAGGCTCAGGGAGGGGCAGTGCCACAGATGGGGTGATCATCTGCCCAGGGGGAGTGGAGGCAGCTCCCAGGGAAGGTTTGGAGTTTGGGCAATGCCCTGTAGGTTAAGACTTGTCTCATCTTTCATAAAGTCATAGAAGGGCTTGGGTTGGAAGGGACTTTAAAGATCACCTGCCATGGGCAGGGACACCTTCCACTAGACCAGGTTGCTCCAACTTGGCCTTGAGACTTCCAGGGATGGGACAGCCACAGCTTCTCTGGGCTGTGAGAATATTTCATCATGAATATTTAAGTGTCTGGTCTAAGCTGTGATTAAAGTTAAAGAAGAGGAGGATTCAGAAGGGGATTGAGACTCATCTTAGAAACCAACTTTGAGCAGAGCAACTTCAGGCCTTCTGAAGGGCCTGTTTCTCTTGGTTAACTAGAGAGGATTTCTACAACTGGATTGAACTAGACCCTGAGCTTCTAAAGTAAGAAATTTATGGGAGATGAATCCCAGTTTTTAGTGACGATGTTTTTGTTTTTGGCAGAAATAACATGGTAAATTTTTTTTTTTTTTGCTACTGGGAGAATTTCTAAACATCCCCTTCCTACTGTAGCCTCAAGCACCCTGGGTGTGTTACTTATGTCTTAGTTGCTTCTGGACATGATTAACAATATTGTCCTGTTTTATAAAAAAACCCACATTTCAGTAATAAAGATGACCGTGTGCTCTTATAGTGGGGCCCCAATCCCAGCTTTGGTCCTCAGATGTTAAACCATGTTAAACTGGCCTATTGTGTGCATTGTGACGTGTGTCTGTTTGGTGGCACTTGGGGACATGGTTTAGTGGTGAACATGGTGGGTTGATGGTTGGACTTGATCTCAAAGGTCTTTTCCAGCCTTAAGGATCCCGTGATTCTGTTTTACCAGTGGAAGAGCAAGAATAATAATTTTAGTTGAAGTAAACTGACTTAAGGTTTCTTTGTGCCCGTTCTGCCCAACCCTTAGACATGAAATCAGTGAGGAGCTGTGTGCAGTGCTGTTGCCTGAAGATCTGTCCCTTGCAGGCCCCCCGGTGATCACCGTGGAGCCCGTGGGCACCGTTGTGGACGCCGGTGCCACGGCCCTGCTGCACTGCCAGGCCAGGGGGGAGCCTGCCCCTGCCATCAGCTGGTCCCGGCAGGGCCAGCCCGTGGTGGGTGACGACAGGGTGGCCGTGCTGTCCAACGGGTCCCTGCGCGTGGCGGCCGCGCGGCGCGAGGACACGGCCCCGTACGAGTGCGTGGCCAGGAACCTCCTGGGCTCCGTCCTCGTCAGAGTGCCCCTCACCGTCCAGGGTACGTGCACAACCCAGCCAGTGCTGGCTCCACACCGGGACGTTACAGCCTTCCCTGAGGTCCAGTGGGGCCAAGATTTTATCCTACCCACATTTTATGGATAAGATATTCGATCTTATCTTCCTATGAGGTCTAAGTTAAGCCTTGTCTGAGATGTCAGTGGGATTCTGTTTCATGATGTTTTATTCCATTATACTCATCCTGCTGGGTGAGGCAGAGGGTGTGGAGTGAGAGACATAAATAATAATGGAAAGGGTCTTGAACCCATGCTCAGAACACATCACTGAACTGTGCCTCTAAAGAACAGCCCTTAGGAGCATAAACAATAATTGTCTGTGAGCTGCAGGAAGATATTTTTGCAGCAGTGAAGACATGAAGTGAGTTTGATTTCCAAGGATGGCTCAGGGAGAGCATTTTTCACTCATCTAAGAGAGTTTTAAGCACAAGCACGTTCGAAGCAGGCTCCCTGTTCCCCTGCAGTGCACGGAGGGTTCTCCCCATGGCTGGAATGGCGGGCGTGCAGCGTCACCTGTGGCCAGGGGGTGCAGGAGCGGCTCCGGCAGTGCAACAACCCCCTCCCGGCCAACGGGGGCAGGAGCTGCGAGGGGCCCCACAACGACGTGCGCAGCTGCCACAGCAGGCCCTGCCCAGGTACTGCCTCAGCCACAGCTGGAATCCCACAGAGGGACCTCAATGACCATCTCATTCCACCCCTGCCATGGGCAGGGACACCTTCCAATAGCCCAGGTTGCACCTGGCCCTGGACACTTCCAGGGATGGGGCAGCCACAGCTTCTCTGGACAACCTGTGCCAGGGCCTCCCCACCCTCACAGGGAACAATTCCTTCCCAATATCCTATCTAACCCTGCCCTCTGGCAGTTTAAAACCATTCCCCCATGTCCTGTCACTGTCTGCCCATGTAAAAAGTCTCTCTCTCTCTGTTTTATAAGCCCTGTTTAAGTATCAAAAGGCCACAGTGAATTGATACTTTTAATGTGCCTTGTGTTGTGTCCAGGCAATGAATCATCCCCATCACAGATCTTCATGGCAGATTCATTTTTCTAAGCAGTTGGAACTGATTTTGTCTTTCATGTAAAGAAAGAGGAATTTTCATTAAATACCAAAAAATATTATTTAAAGAAAACTGGGGATGTTTCTGTTTCTCAGTGGATGGCAGCTGGTCAGAGTGGGGGCCGTGGGAAGAGTGTTCCAAGAGCTGTGGACACGGCAACAGGACCAGGAGCAGGACCTGCAGTGCCCCCCCAGCCCAGCATGGGGGGCAACCCTGCAAGGGCAGTGCTGTGGAGTCAGTCATGTGCAATGTCAAGCCTTGCCCAGGTAAGACACGAGGAATTTAAGTTATTTGCACAAGGGGCGTCATATGTACATTTCTTTTTTTCTCCAAACCCAAATTCTCTCAGCTTATTTAAGTTGGGGGGTTTTTTTGTTTTAAAATTGTTTGTAATTCACTGAATGGCACTAGTTCTTGGATACAGGAATCACAAAAGTAACAGCAAGGAATATTCTCAGCAATTTCTTTTTTTTTTTAATCAGTAAAAAGTAAATTTTGTATTTTGATGTTTTCCAGTACTTGATACTCACATTCTCACAGAGTAAATTCACTGCTCTAAACCTCTTCTGCAAAGCCAGTTAAAAAAAAAAACAAACCTAAATCACCAACTATTTAAAAGCCATGTAAATAATGATCATTGGTAATTTATTACTTTATCTGTATATTTTCCTCTGTTGTTTTAATTTTCAGTCACATCTTCCTGCCAACTATTTGAATGTTCAGGTTTCCTTCCTGTCTCATTACTTCCCACGTTGGAGAGGTTGTAGTTTATTCAGAACCTTCACCACTGAGAGGTTCCCTTCTGTACAATTTTCACTGTATTGATTTTTCCCTTTTTCCTGAACTCTGCTACCATTATGATTCCAAATGTTCATCCATGGGCCTGAGACTTATTTCTCTAGATTTTGGCAGCAGAATCAGCTCTGGCTGCTGTTCGTTGGTGACTCTGGAGCTGTGTGCCAGCTTTGGCCAGGCTCAGACTTCCAGCCCATCCAGGGAACTTGAGAGATGCCAGATTTGATCAAGTGTTCACAGATCACAGATATGCTGATTTGGAAGGGAGCCACAAGGACCATCCAGTCCAACCCCTGGCCCTGCACAGACACCCCAACAATCCCACCCTGTCCCTCAGAGCATTGTCCAAACCTTCCTGGAGCTCTGGCAGCCTTGGTCCTGTGCCCACTGCCCTGGGGAGCCTGGTCAGTGCCAACCACCCTCTGGGGGAAGAACCTTTTCCTGATACCTCCCCTGACACAACTTCAGGCCATTCCCTCGGGTTTTGTCAGTTCTGTTGTTCCAAGATCACGGTGAGGTGTTAAAAACCAAACCACTGACCCGTTTCAGCTGTTGCTCAAGGCAGAGGTTTCCAGGGCATGCTCAGGGTGTGTGTTGTTGCCGTTCTGGTGCTGAGCAGCTCCTGAGGATGTGTGATGTGTGCTGTGTGCTGCCGTTGCAGTGGCCGGGGAGTGGAGCCCGTGGCTGCCGTGGGGCCCGTGCAGCGAGACGTGCGGGCAGGGCACGCAGCGGCGGGCGCGGCTCTGTGCCAGCCCGGCCCCCGCGCACGGCGGGCAGCGCTGCCGCGGCCCCGACACCCAGCTGCAGCTGTGCCAGCGGAGGCGCTGCCCAGGTGAGGGGACACTGCTCACACCGTCTGTCTGCTCCGTTTGTGTTTGACACTGCCGGCTCTAAACGGGTAGAACTGAACAAATTCCTCCTCGAGGCTTTTACTGTCCTGGCCCCCTCACATGTTTAGCCTCCCTCTATAGACCCTAGAGATGGGATTTCTTCTCCTGTCCTTGCTTCTCCTCCTTTACCCCATAAAAGCAGCAATTTAAATCCTTGGCAGTTAAATTACAGGTTTCCTAAACGTTTTTTTTAATTTTTCCTAGGATCTGTTTTTCATTTATCCTTTCCTTCCACATTTTCAATGAGTCCCTTCATGAGTGGATAGGAAAACTCACGATTTTGAAACAGGACCTCTATATTTGGCTGAGTGCAGGGATAACAAAGGGAAGTTCCATGGAGTGGAATGTGCAGTAGCTCAGACTGAACCTTCTGGCTTCGTGCTCTGTTTTTCACGTGCCAGATCCTGTGCTGAGTCCCCACTGTGACTACAACTGGTAGGAGGGAGAACTGACCTCGTGGTAGGGGAGCACCCAAGGGCCTGATGTTACACATTTATCCAGCTCCACGTGCTGCTGCTGAGGATGCTGTTGCTTACAAATGGCTTGGGAATACTTAGCCTCTTAGCCCCCAGCTCCAGTGCTCACATGGATGTGATTGTGCCAGTTTGTGTCACCACATCTTAGGAGATCAGAGACCCCCGTGCTCAGCTGCTCAGACCTGCACCACGTGAGATCACTGGGTAGCAATGTCCATTGGTGCTGGATGTTGTTATCCCAACTGCAGAACCAGTAAATCACAGGTGGGTTAAGAAGGGGGTGGAGAAGGTGTTGATGGCTCCATCTTCAGACAGTGCAGCTGCAACCAGAGGACCAGGATTCTGGTCAGGCTTGCGGGTTATTTAAAAGACAGGTCATTTCCTTCTCTCACTGTCACTCCTGGAAATCATAGAATCATGGAATAACGGGTTGAGTTGGGAGGGACTTAAAGCTCATCCAGTTCCAACCCCCTGCCATGGGCAGGGACACCTTTAACTAGTGCAGGTTGCTCCAACCTGGCCTTGGACACTTCCAGGGATTCAGGGGCAGCCACAGCTTCTCTGGGCAACCTGGGCCAGGGCCTCTCCACCCTCACAGGGAAGGATTTCCCCCCAATATCCCATCTGACCCTGTCCTGTGGCAGTGGGAAGCCATTCCCCCTTGTCCTGTCCCTCCAGGCCCATGTCCTGAGTCCCTCTCCAGCTCTCCTGAAGCCCCTTTAGGCACTGGAAGGCTGCAATAATGTCACTCTGGATTCTTCTCCTCTCCAGCCTGAACAATCCCAGCTCTCCCCCCTTTCCTCCCAGCAGAGCTGCTCCATCCTCTGCTCATCTTGGTGCCTCCTCTGGACTCTCTCCAGCAGCTCCATGTCCTTGCTGTGCTGTTCCCCAGGGCTGGAGCAGCTCTGCAGGGGGGTCTCACCTGACGGGGGCAGAATCCCCCCCTGCCCTGCTGCCCACGCTGGGGGATCAGCCCAGGGCACGGGGGGTTCGGGGCTGCCAGCGCACGTGGATGGGTCATGTCCATCCCTCATCCAGCAGAACCCCCAGGTCCCTGTGTAGGAATGCCTGTGTAGCCGAGATGTTCTGGAAAGAGAGTCTGTGACCTGCCCCGGTCAGTTTTCCTGAGGTAGCACTGCTTTGCTTTGTCATTCCCGCAGTCAGACTGTAACTGTGCCGTGCCTCTGTCCGCAGTGGATGGGAAATGGGCCCCCTGGAGCAGCTGGAGCGCCTGCAGCGTGTCCTGTGGGGGGGGCAGTAGGCAAAGGACGCGGCTCTGCTCGGACCCGGCCCCGCAGTTCGGGGGACACAAGTGTGAAGGGAGTGACGTTCAGATGGATTTCTGCAACAGCGATCCCTGCCCCAGTAAGTGCTCCGGGCCGGGCTGCTCACCCCCTCCCTGGCTTTGGGGGCGTGCAGGAGGGGAGGGATGCACTGCACGAGTCACACACTCCCACAACAACCAGGGGGCCGAACGGATCCCTTTCTTAGCTCTGGTTCTTTTTATTTTGGGAAAAGAGATTAAGAAGTTACTCTCCAGTAGAAGTGTTTTCCTTGCTTTACTGTCTGGTTTTAAATAACTGTTATTAAGAGGAAGGCGGATCAGATGTGACTTATTTTTTCAGTCCATGGCAACTGGGGCCCGTGGGGCAGCTGGGGCAGCTGCAGCCGCACGTGCGGGGGGGGCCAGGCCCGGCGGCACCGCAGCTGCGACAACCCGCGCCCCGCCAGCGGCGGCAGGGGCTGCGCCGGGCCCGACCTGCAGAGCCAGAGGTGCGGCACCGACCTGTGCCCAGGTGAGTGCTCACTGCCCCGGGGCCAATGCAGCTGGCCCTGGAAGGCATCCCGTAATGTTCGGGAGATTTTCATACTGGGGAAGGAATGTAGAACATCCCTGGAAGTGTCCAAGGCCGGGTTGGACGGGGCTTGGAGCAACCTGGGCTAGTGGAAGGTGTCCCTGCCCATGGCAGGGGGTGGCACTGGATGGGCTTTAAGGCCCCTTCCCACCCAAACCTTCTGGGATTCTGTGAAAATCCTTATAATTCCTTATGATTTCATACAATCTAATAATCCTCTGCCTTTTTAAATGACTGTCACCTGACAAGGATTTTGCCCTTCACATGTTAGATTTTCCCAAAAGGAGAGGGAATAAATCAAACCAAGACATAGCATATGAAAATGTCTCTTCCACTGTGTTTCTGAGGGAGAAGGTTCACACCTGCCCACTAAGGTGGTTTGGTCATCCTTTGAACTATTCCTTTAACACACTGGTTCCCTCAAGAAGTAATGAAATTGAGCATAACCGATGAAGCCTGAAACATTTAAACTGAAAAATGGCTTTCTTCGTTCTCCGTTTCTCCAGTGGATGGGAACTGGGGGCACTGGCAGCCGTGGAGCCCGTGCTCTGCCTCCTGTGGAGGGGGAGAGCAGAGCCGGGTGCGCCTGTGCAGCAGCCCCGCCCCATCGAACCGCGGCCGGCCCTGCCCCGGGGACTCCTCCCAGATATCCCGGTGCAACACCCAAGCGTGTCCTGGTGAGTTCATTTACAGCTTGTGAGGTGTGGGGAAAGCCTGTGGCTCTCCTGGTTTCACTGGTGCTCTCTCATGTCTTGCCCAGCTGACGGAGTAATTTAATTTTTTGGGTTTAAACCTCCCCTGCAATTTAAGCTCAATTCAGTCTCCCCTACAATATCCAACAGCACACATCATGTGGCCCATTTTTTCCCTCTGTCCTTCCCCCCCTCTGCACAGGTGGACCTGCCCGTGCCAAGGGCAGCATCATTGGCAACATTAATGATGTGGAATTTGGGATTGCTTTCCTGAACGCCACGGTGACGGACAGCCCAGACTCTGACACCAGAGTCATACAGGCAAAGATCACAAACGTCCCTCGGAGCATTGGTAGGCTTTTTCACTCCTATCACTTTTTTTTTTGCTCTGAGTACACCAATACATCCTGTCTTCTGGTTTAGATCTGAAAAGGGTTACCTTAGTTGTAGGTCTGCATTCACTCTTGGAGGGGTGTGGGTCGCATGATGTTCAGATTAAAGCTCCCCGATGTTCTGTGGTCATTCTTTCAGGCCCAGCCATGAGAAAGCTCGTTTCCATACTCAGCCCAGTTTATTGGACAACTGCCAAAGAAATTGGGGAAGCAATGAACGGGTTCACGCTCACTGATGCCGTCTTCAAGAGAGAAACTCAAGTGGAGTTTGCAACTGGTGAGTTCCCTGGGATAGACCAGCTCTTTCCGTGTCCATTACGCTGGATAGATCCTGCATTTCTTAAAAAATAGCACAGGACCATTGCTGAAACTTGAGTCTTGTGCTCACACCAGTATTTTCTGAGTGACTGTGTCTGAGGCATAAATACAGCTTTTAGAGCTGTGGTTTGAAACATGCCACGGTTTTGATGATAGCACCCCTTAGAGAATGCAAGTATAAAATAACTCGTCAGGGGATTCCAGCTCCGATCCCCTGTGGTAACAGGAGTCTCTGGTTGGGAAGTTGGATACACCAAGGTGCTCTGCAATCCCCAGGTGAGATCCTGCGGCTGACGCACGTCGCGCGGGGCCTGGACTCCGACGGGGCCCTGCTCCTGGACGTGGTTGTGAGCGGCCACGTGCTGCAGCTGCCGGCCCTGGCTGATGTCAACGTGAAGGTAAAGCTGCCGTCCCTCCCTCCTCATCTAGAGTAAAGCAGTAAACACTAACTCCTGAAAACTGTTGTACTGTATGTGGCTTGTTTTATGCCTGGTTTAACTGACAGATGCTGATGTTGCCTTTGAAAGCAAAAAGTCGTCATCAGGCAGGTGATGTTGGTCTCTCAAGAATCTGAGATGTTGGCAGGTGGTGCTGAGAAGGGTCTTCAGGGTAGTTATTGCAGGCACGTTGGTGTTGCTTTTGATAGAGCTGGAAAGGGGCATCTTTAACCTCTCTACCTTAGTCATTAGTTAGTGGTAGTTAACCAGTATTTCTCTGTGTTAATCCCACTGTACAATAAATATATATAAAGCTGTTGATATTTTCCTACACTGCAATATACTGTATGTCCAATATTTATATCTCTTTTTAGTGGCAGAATTTTTCTCTACTGAGTGTTTATTTAACATGTTTGTCAGCATCTGACTTAGAATACAAACAAAATATTCTGACCTGAAAAGACTGTTATTAAAGAGTAGGGTCATTTTCAGGTTTTTGGCAGTGCTGTGGCCTCCATCATCAGGCTCCTCAGTACATCAGTCTGTATCTTGGTTAAAGAAATGCACCAGGTGCTGTTAAGGTTCAGCAGTTAAAATAAGAGTGGAAAGGCCATGTGTGTGTGAAATACCATTTGTTCAGATCAAACCCTTTCTCTGAACTCTCATGCAACTTTAAACTGCAAGATCGCCCGGGTTTTGGCTGCACTCAGCAGCTGATGCCCAAATCCTGCTGTTCCAGGATTACACAGAGGACTACATCCAGACTGGCCCAGGGCAGCTGTACGCACACTCCACCCGGCTCTTCACCATGGATGGAGTCAGCGTTCCCTACACCTGGAACCACACCGTCACCTATGACTACACCAAGGGCAAGATGCCCTTCCTGGTGGAAACACTCCACGCTTCCTCCATTGCAACAGAGTACAACCCACTGGAAGAAGCCGTGGCTTTCAAAATCCAGGCTTCCATTGCAAAAGGTACTGTTCTAGTCTTTGCCAGAAATCAAACAATGGCAAATTAATGTCTTCTTCTCCTAGAATTCATTCCCTGTAGCCTCAAAAGGAAATTCTGTGAAAGTTGGGTCACTTTATTGTAGATCTTGATACCTACCTGTCTCATTAATGTACCCACAGACTAACACGTAAGAGCTACTGCAGTTTGCACTTCCTTCACCCCTGGTTCTCATCCACACTGCCAAAGGCATCCCCAGCAGCCTCAGAGTTAACCTGAAATAGTTCCATTTCCTTGCATGTCCCTTTCATTCTCTAAAATGAAATTATCATGGAGTCCCAGAGTGCTTTGGGTTGGAATGGACTTTGAAGTCCATCCAGTCCCACCCCCTGCCAAAGGTGGGGACACCTTCCACCAGACCAGGTTGCTCCAAGCCCTGTCCAACTTGTTGCTTTTCTGTGGGGTCAGGGTGCTTTTGTGTGGTGGGTTTTATGTTTGGGTTTGTGTTCCCGTACCTACTAAGAAAAAGGACTGTATTTTCTCCTCCCAGCAAAACCCACATAAATATAAATCAGGTAGCAATGAGGTGGAACTTGCAGTCACTCCAAGGGGAACCTCCACACAATATTTGATGTTATTCAAACCAGCATAAAACATGTACTACTGACTTTTACAGCTCAAGTAGAAAAACTACTAACGGCTGGATTTAAAAGTTTCTGTTTTGGTGTTCAAGTATAGTAACTACTTTATAAATAACTGGGCTGCAATTCTTAGTGCTAAAGTAGTAAAATGGCCATATTTTTATCCCCAAGTAACATGTGCTTCTTTTACCATCCAGGGGATCATAGCAACCAGTGCCCTGCTGGGTTTGGTTTGGACTCGTCTGGGCCTTATTGCTCAGGTACTGAAGGACGGGGTGGTGTAAATTACAGACTCATGGGGTGGGGGGGAAGGCACCTTAAAACTCACCCCACCCCCAACCATGGGCAGGGACACCTTCCACTAGCCCGGGTTGCTCCAAGCCCCGTCCAACCTGGCCTTGGACATTTCCAGGGATCCAGGGGCAGCCACAGCTTCTCTGGGCAACCTGTGCCAGGGTCTTACTCACACAGAAGAGTTTTTTCCCAGTATCCCATCTAACCTGCCCTCTGGCAGCGGGAAGCCATTCCTTGTGTCCTATCCCTCCGTTTCCTTGTCCCAAGTCCCTCTCCAGCTCTCTTGGAGCCCCTTCGGGTACTGGAAGGCTGCAATAATGTCACTCTGGAGCCTTCTCTTCTCCCAGCTTGTGTCCAAAGCAGAGGTGCTCCAGCCCTTGGAGCATCTCCATCACCTCCTCTGGACCTGCTCTCAGAGGTCCGTGTCTGTCTGGTGCTGAGGTCTCCAGAGCTGGACACAGTGCTCGCCCCCAGGATCTACACCACCTTTAGTTAGAGTTTCAAACCATGCAGTACTTCAGAAAGTGTCAGTGCCACTGACAAAGGGTGTGGATCCAATGGCACATGAAGACTTTGCTTCTCTCCTCACCTAGAATGTGAGTAGTACCCAGAGAGCCTTTTCCTCAGGACACTGAGCCTCAGCACCTGCAGAGCAAGGAAGGACTTACCTGACCTGAGGGAGGGAAGGATGAGTGTTGGCAACCCAGCCCACAGCCCACGGGTTCCTGCTGGGGAACCTATTGGATGGTTCTCTCCACCTCCATCCTGCTGGGAAGGTGTGAGCATTCTGGCTGTCTCTCTAGATGACTGAGTCATGCTTGGTTTAGGGAGCAATCATCTGAGATACTTCATTGGCTCACTGAGTTGGCCCCTGGAAGGTTGTCCATGAAGGGAGTTGTACAGAAACTGCTCCATTACTGGGTCCAGTTTTGCCCTGTGGCTTTACCAGTCACATCTCTGAGGAAGGGTCGGTCTTGTGAAGTCTCACTGGGTTTGCAAACGTTTCCTTGTTCCAGATGAAGATGAATGTGCTGTGGGAAATCCTTGTTCCCATACCTGCCATAACACCGTGGGATCCTACTACTGCTCCTGTCCCAAAGGCCTCACTATCTCTGCTGATGGGAGGACGTGTCAGGGTAAGAGAGGTGCTGCTGGGGACAGGTCAGATACAAAGCGCCCCTTAAATACTTTAAGGCCTTAAAAATGCCTTAAAAGTCACTCACATTGCTAAGGAAAGGTTCTGTTTAGGCCATTTCTCATTACAAGAATGCAATTTCTTGGTGGTATTGTAATTATTTCATACCTGAATGAAATCAGCTAGTATTTCTAGCTGCTCATGCTCAGGGTGCTGTGTTCGTTGTGATGGGGGTTTTCAGGTTGTTTTTCATTCCAGACATTGATGAGTGTGCTCTGGGAGGGCACAGCTGCCATCCTGGCCAGGAGTGTGAGAACGTCATGGGCTCCTTCCGCTGCATGGTCCGGTGTGGGAGCGGCTTCCGGAGAACGGCCGACGGCTTCGGCTGCCAGGGTATGGGGGCTTGGGGTTGGATCCGAGGTACACGGGGGGTTTGGGGGTTGGATTCAGGGTACACGGGGGGGGGTGGGGGGTGGATTCGGGGTACACGGGGGTTTGGGGGGTTGGATTCAGGGTACACGGGGATTTGGGGATCGGCTTTCAGGAACTGAAAATGCTCCTTCACGCAACTGAAAGTGACTTTAAAGATGCATCTCCAAATATCTGCCTATAAATTTTCGTTATTAAGGTCATGGATCTTTGAGGGTTGGGTTTTTTTAATAGATGGTTTTTTGCCTTCTTTTTTTTTTTTGTACCCTTTTGCTTTTTCTGTCTTTAGCAATAAATTTAAAATCCAATCAGGGAATAACTTAACACTCTTGGGTTTGTGTGTGTTGTCTTTTACAAAGATGGGAGAGCAGCAAACACTCCTGAGCAGAACTCACTGGGGTAACAGCCAGAGCTCAGGTAACTGAGCCCACAGGGCAATTCCCAGTCCCGGTGTCAAGGATTTGCGTTGTTCCACAGATGTTAACGAGTGCCAAGAGTCCAATTCCTGTCATCAGCGTTGCTTTAACACCATAGGAAGTTTCCACTGTGGCTGTGACCCAGGATTCCAGCTGAAGGGCAGAAAATGCGTGGGTAGGGATGAAGTGCTGAGTGTCCGTTCCCTTTCTCCAGCAGACAGAGTTCAACATTTATTTGTTGCTCTGTTTGTTTATGAAGGAAAATCCTGCTGTGATGATACACTTGGTCTGTACTTCTGAATCTGTAAAGCACTCCTAAAAACCAGAGGAAGCAGGAATTGGGCTGACTGATGCATGAGCATGAAATGATTCAAAGGCATGGTCAGGTGTAATTTCATTATATAGAGGCCAAGCTTTGTTTATTTTGTTTCCTTTTTGTTTGAATAAGATGTTAATGAGTGCAGGCAGAACGTGTGCAGGCCTGATCAGCTCTGCAAGAACACCCGTGGTGGCTACAAGTGCATCGATCTGTGTCCCAGTGGAATGACCAAAGCAGAGAATGGGACCTGCATTGGTGAGTAGCAGCACTGATTCACTCCATGGTGATGAGAAACACAGGGACAATGGTGATTTTTATTTTTTTAAATAATCCTGAAGCTTGTCCATCTCCTGTTGTTAACATTTGCACATATTAAGGCACCAATTTTTTTCAAGTTTAACTTAACATCCATATTTAACTTTTGTGAATTAGTATTAAAAGAGATGTGTCCTTGCCACCTCTGGTTATCCATTGTTTCTTAAGAGTTTGGCTCAGGAGCTCTGAATCAAGATCCCAGGTCCTTGCTGCTTATCCACTGCCTGGTGGATGAGGGGAAGGCTGTGGATGTGTCTGTCTGGATTGCAGCAAAGCCTTGGACACCATCTCCCATAGCATTCTCCTGGAAAAGGCTTGGACAGGGGCACCCTGTGCTGGGTTAGGAACTGGCTGAGGGCCCAGAGAGTGGTGGGAACGGTGCTGCATCCTGTTTGGATTCAGTCACCAGTGGTGTCCCCAGGGATCAGTGCTGGGCCCAGTCCTATTTAATATCTTCATTGATGATCTGGATGAGGGGGTTGAGTCCACCATGAGCAAATTTGCAGATGACACCAAGCTGGGGGTGTGTTGATCTGCTGGAAGGCAGGAGGGCTCTGCAGAGGGACCTGGCCAAGCTGGATCCATGGGCTGATTCCAAGGGGATGAGGTTCAATCAGGCCAAGGGCCGGGTCCTGCCCTTTGGCCACAACAACCCCCTGCAGCTCCAGGCTGGGACAGAGTGAGGGGAGAGCAGCCAGGCAGGAAGGGAGCTGGGAGTGTGGATGGACAGGAAGCTGAACAGGAGGCAGAGTGTGCCCAGGTGGCCAAGAGGGCCAATGGATCCTGGTCTGGCTGAGGAAGAGTGTGGCAGCAGGAGCAGGGATTGTTGGCCTGGACTCAGCGCTGGTGAGGCCACCCCTGGAGTGCTGTGTCCAGCTCTGGGCCCCTCAGCTCAGGAAGGATATTGAGGTCCTGGAGCAGGTGCAGAGAAGAGCAACAAGGCTGGGGAAGGGACTGGAGCACAAGTGCTGTGAGGAGAGGCTGAGGGAGCTGGGGCTGTTCAGCCTGGAGAGGAGGAGGCTCAGGGGAGACCTCCTCACTCTCTACAACTCCCTGACAGGAGGGTGTAGGCAGGTGGGGGTCAGGCTCTGCTCCCAGGAATGATCAGTAAGACGAGAGGACTCGGTCTTAAGCTCTGCCAGAGGAGGTTTAGGTTGGACATTAGCAAGAAATTCTTTCCAGAGAGAGTAATCAGCCATTGGAATGGGCTGCCCAGGGAAGTGGTGGATTCTCTGTCCCTGGAGGTTTCCAAGATGAGGCTGGATGTGGCATCAGTGCCATGGGCTGGGAACCACAGTGGTAGCAGATCAAGGGCTGGCCTTGATGATCTCACAGTTCTCCTCCAACCCGGCTGATTCTATGATTCTATAATTCTGTCCTCAGGCTTTTTAAAAGCTGATGTTAATAGATGCTACCAAAGCTTTTACTCTTGGGGGATCATGGAATGGTTTGGGTTGGAAGGGGCCCACCTGCCATGGGCAGGGACATCTTCCACTAGCCCAGGTTGCTCCAAGCCCCGTCCAACCTGGCCTTGGACACCTCCAGGGATGGGGCAGCCACAGCTTCTCTGGGCAACCTGTGCCAGGGCCTCCCCACCCTCACAGGGAAGGATTTCTTCCTCATAACTAACTTAATCTCTCCTCCTTTAGTTTAAAACTGTTCTGCCCATGTAAAAGTTGCTCTCCCTGTTTTTTTGTAAGCCCTAAAGTACTGAAAGGCCACAACGAGGTCTCCCTGGAGCCTTCTCCAGGCTGAACAATCCCAGATACGATATCACAGGAAGATGGATTCTCTCTCTTTGTAGAATAGCTGATCACATTGGAAACCTCAATGAAAAGTTTTGAAAATTTATGGAAAAAGTGCCTGTAAATGCCAAACAGTTGAAAAATTTCTCTCTATACCTGCCCCAAACCTGCTTTCGGCTTGTGAGACCCAGGCTGTGCTTGGTACCACACACATTAGACAGTAATGCCAGACTCGGGCACGAGGGGAGAAGAAGAGTGGGCATTCAGAGGGCCAGATGCACACAGGCTCCTCTGCCTTCCTTGCCCAGCCCCGCAGTGACTGTTCCTTTGCTGTTCCTGCAGATGTGGACGAGTGCCGGGCCGGGACGCACCAGTGCCGCGCGCCCCAGCTGTGCGAGAACACGCGGGGCAGTTACCGCTGCCTGTGCCCACGGGGCTTCCGGGCACAGGGCACGGGCAGGCCCTGTGTGGGTAAGCTGCAATCACCCTCCTGTCACCCCCTCCTGCTGCTGCTGCTGGGCTGGCTGCTCTGACACACGGCACTGCTATCCCTGGTGAACGCTGTGCTCTAGAGAGGAGTTTGCTCTGGAGTCCCAAATTGCCCATCCAAAACAAAGCATCCCGTTCAAAGCCCTCAAAGCTAAATGGTTCCAAACGGAGATTGGTTTGGGGCCATACTTTGAAAGCAAAGTGTAAAAGGGTCTCAGGGCACTGGTGGATGGATGTGGCAAGTGACCCTTCCACAGGAAGCTTCGTTTATAAAAACCAGGTGAGATTTGTTGCTGTGCCTGGCTGTCCCCTGGCCTGCACTGGTTCCCACGTGAAGGCAGTCACACAGGGAATCACGTGGATTCCCCTATGGAGAGAACCCCAAGGAGAGTGTTGTGAGAGGCAGGGTAGACCCAGAACTCACCTCTGCTCACGGACATCCCGAACACCCCTCCCCACACAGCACTGCCAAGGGGGTTCCCCACATGGTAGAGCAGAGGGAGCTGAATGTGTTTATCCCTGGTGTGGGTGGCTCAGAGCAGGGCAGGAGCGTTCCTGTCCATCCCAGGAATGCTGACCAGTCACTGCCCTGTCTGCCCTGCAGAACTGTCTGGCACAAGGCCCTGCAGAGCTTTCTCCCACACATGGGTGGAGCAGCTCGGGAGGCTCTCACAGCTCTGACGTGGAGAGCAAGAGTTTAGTATGTGCTGTCAGTGCACAGAACACTTCCTGGCATTTAACAGACCTCAGGAAGGCACTGGAATCATTTACCATCACCTTTTTTGCATTTATGTAGAATATTTAAAACAAAATAGCTGACCCACCCTGCTAATGATTCCTGAATGTCAGTATTTGACATTTAGTGAGGTTGGTAGTGGTTGCTCTCATGTATCAGAGCAGAGAATTATTCCTCCCTTATGACTTCTTCAAGATTAGCTTTCCTAAGTGATAAATAGCTATTTTCTTATTTTATTTTTCTTTAACAACCTAAGATTTTGAACTACCAAAACCCAGGAATGTTTGGGTGGGTTTTTTTTAAAGAGATTAAATTGCAGTAAGAAAGTGTTTGGCTCTAGACCAAGATATTACTTCCACCATCTGCATCTCTACTGAAATAAAATCAATCCCAGACTTCTTAACATATATTAAAACCATGTAAACTTCTGGCAGGAATAAGCTAGATGAAGTCTAGGACTGTGGGTTTCCACAAAGCACCAGCAACTGCCCTAAAGCTGCCTTCTGACCAAGGACCACTGAAAGCTCCCTCTTGAAAGTATGACTTGAATTTTTATCCTTTCAATTTTTATCTACTTAAAAACATATTTAAAATATGGGTTCATCCAAAGTATTAGTTCACATGTTAATAAAATCCACTGAATTACAGCATTTCTGTGGAACCTCAACATACCAGGTCACAGGTGGAAAGGCATCACAAACAGCTGCTATAAAGCATGTTTGTATATAACACATGCAAGGCTGTCTAGAATATAAAATCAAATATTGTTCTTCAAATTTAAGAAAGCCTGAAAACGTAGCTGGTTTAATTTCAAAGTAATTTTACCTTGTTCTTGTAAATATTAGGGTTGCCACCCCTCTGTGAGCTCTTCTCACAGGGAGAGCCGTGGGGTGACTCTGGGGTTTTGTATTGCACAGGCTGCTCCTGCAAAAGGAACTGCTCCAATTTTCACCTGTTTCCTTTCATTCTATGATAATCTTCTATTGCTCATTCACAACTTGTTCCAGGGACACTGGTTGTTGTAAAGAATCACTGTTAGTTTCTTTTATGCATGTACAGAATGTAAAACTCAGCACTTAAGTGCTAAGGAAATTGTAAGTTTTAGGGTGAAAAACAATGAAATGAATACATTTAAAATTCAGATTAGTTGTTGCCATACAAAAAGTGAAGTTCTCTTGTTTGCAAAACCTGACAATCCTAACCTGAGGATTTTCACGAATATATTATAAAGCTTCAGTTGTTTGTTTGCCAAATAACAGTTGGAAAATACTGTAATACTCTGCAGAATTTACTCCTGGATTTTCCACTCTTAAAACATTTAATTATTAATACCCCCCTAAATTCCTTAAAACTTTAACAATATCAGGTATTAAACACTTCATAAAAACACAGTGTAATGTTCTATGTTTCTTACAGTATTGTTTTTTAAAAACCATTATCATGCAGTTGTGGCTCGCAGTGTTACAAACTCAAAAATCCTCTGTTCAGAGGGAAGTGCAACAACATTGACTTAATGGCATTTTTACAATAATAGTTGAAAGAATATACACTATCCACTAATATGAAATAATTGAGTCACTATTAAGATAATTTTTAGTTTCTAGTTACAAAAAGGTTTATAATATATGTCAGTTATACATATGTTGTGATGTGTGTTAATATTGGGTTATTTATTTCTGGACATTGCAGAGTTGTTTGGAACTTGCAGATTCTTGTCTTTTTCTAGTGAAGACAAGACTGTAAGTTTGAAAAGAAATACAGTGATGTCAAATTTCCAGCTGGGCCTGAAGTAACTTGAGGATAATTTTAGGAAATTTCTTACTGGCAGTGCCAGAGAACCTGTGAGGGAAGGTCAGGTCCTGCAGTACCAAGAGCACTCCCAGTTTACTCGGAGTGAAGGACACTCAGCATGTTGTACCCTAAACCCTTTACTGTACTCTGTGTGCTCAGCACTCTGGTTTGATTCAAGGATGGGGTGGGTCAAATTACTTTGAATTGCAATTTAAAGGAAAACAACTTAAAAAAAATGTATTGCTTAAGAAAACAAAAATAATTTTATTTTTTAATTGTATAAAAGTGAATTAATATTTGCTGTTAAGTCCCCAACCTGTCACAGCTGGAATGACCAATAACAGAATCACAGGTTAGAACTTACCTGACCTCTTCCCCCCTGCAGCCTTGAAACTCATCCTCCAGCCCTGACCCCATCCCTGGAGGTGTCCAAGGCCAGGTTGGATGAGCTTGTAGCAACCTGGGCTAGTGGAAGGTGTCCCTGCCCATGGCAGGGGGTGGCACTGGGTGGGCTTTAAGGTCCCTTCCAACCCAAACCATTCCATGATTTCCCCACAGTAACCACACTGGAGCCCGTTGTTCTTCCCTCCGTGCAGGCTAATGAATTTCTAACACTGCACTTCTCTGGAAGGCTCTGTGTTAAGTATCTTCCTTTAAAGAAGGGCCTGGCAGCTTCTCCCACTCATCCTTAAGTGTGTAGCACTTAAGGAAAGAAACCCAAACCACTACTAAATGGTATTGAAGAGCTGAGGCTGAAACACTGCACACTTGAGGCAGGCCCTTCAGCAGGGCTCCTGTCCGGAGGGAGCACAGTCACACTGAGCCTCACAGGCTCATTTCTTGGAGAGTAAAGGTGTGGGACAGTCCAGGGCAGCATAACCTGCCTGCTTGGCATCGTGTTCTCCATGTTTTACTGCCCTCAAGGTCTCACCTTTGTGTCTTCAGCTTGTTCCTCAGACTGAGATAAGTATCTGTGTGTATATATACGTATAGTTACGTGTTGTTGTTTGTTTGTTTTCTCTCCTTTCCACATGGTTTGTGGCTCTGGATCATGTGCCATGGGCAGACATTAATGAATGTGAACAAGTGCCTAAACCCTGTGCCTTTCAATGCACCAACACCCCCGGCAGCTTCAAGTGTCTCTGTGCACCTGGGCAGCAGTTGCTGGGTGATGGGAAATCTTGCGCCGGCTTGGAGAGGCTGCCAAATTCTGGGGCCTATTACAGTAGCTATAACTATGCTCAGTTCTCCCCTGGGAGAGACAACCAGCAACAGCAGCACTATTACAGGCACTCCTCAAATCTCTACAGCTCCTTCTCAGAGTATAGGAACAGCAGAATACCTTTCTCCAGGACTAGAAGGAACGTTAGAGAAACTTGTCCTGAAGGCTATGAGGCAAGAAATGGCAGATGTGTAGGTAAATGTCAGTCCTGTCTCTGCAACTCTCTTGTTTTGGGCCTTATTCTTAGGTTACTCTTTGATGTCTACCAGGGGCTGAGGGTTTGTGGTGCTGTGGGGTTTTTTTCTGTTTACCCTGGTCAGTATTCAGAGGGTTCTGTATGTTCTTGTCTCTCCTGTCTTTGCTCACATTGTAGCAAAAATGTTTTCAAACCTCCTTGTAACCTCTTGTTTTAACTGTGCTTCTTATTGTATTTGCCAAGTTATTCTCTGTGTTACTCTCTTTCTCCTGATCACAGTAGCTCACCTTGGTGAATCTTCTCACGCTCCAAAATCCACCAGCAGCCCCAGTCTAGTCCCATTGCTTCCATCAGACTCCTACTGATGGCAGCAATAATCTGGTTCAGAAAAGTTTTGGATAAAGATTTTAGAGTTGGGCACACTGGGGCCAGTGCCAGCACTGCTACAGGGACAGTCAGTGTCACATGGGCAGTAGGCACAGAAGCTTTTAGATTATTGTTATTTTGTATAAGAAAAGGGATTACAACATAATTCAGCCTGGAGAGACTGATGGTAAGTAAAGAAATAGGTTTGTCAGGAGTTGTGGCAGTGACAGCACAGGCATTTCTTCCCTGAGGAGGAGTCCGGGCAGTTACAGGAACTGGCAAGCTCTGCCCCTGGTTTTTGGGGGGATATAAAAAAAATTACTTAATTTTTGGAAATACACTTCTCCTAAGCCAGACTTTGCCAACTTATCTCCTGTTTTGAGTATCTTAAGGAAATGACACTTCCCAGTAGGCACAACTAAAGGGTAAATGGTGATCTGCAGAGAGGTTCTAGCATCAGAATTCCTGCTGGGATTATACAGTGAGATATAATGGTGGCACACGTGAGCAGGCATTTCATAAATAATGTAAGGCCAGGCAGACATCAGACCTTGTATTTAAGTTATAAAGAGATTTCAGTAGTCACATACCTGGGGATTAGTACAGCAGTTTAACTGACACAGCTCCCACTGAGGGAAAGGGGAAGCTCCAACCTCTGATCTTCATCCCAGTTTCCAGTTGGAATTAGTTAATATTCTTGTACTTTTTTTTGTGTAATAATCATCTAGGTTTAAAAATGACCGTTTAATATGAAAAATACACCCAAATGATGCTTTTGTTGAAGTTCTTTCAACAGACAACCATCAGGATGTGATAACAACACACCAGAGGTTTCTGTTCACATCTGCCTCTCTTCTCTTTTTACATTTTGATCTAATGCAACCCCTGTAAATTAGAGAGAAGGGAAGCCAAGACTTTCCTGCCACTGGTTTAATCATGCAAATCTGAAATCTTGCATGAGATTAACTGTATTGCTGTGCTGATTTAGGCAGATGTTTGAAAAGCCACTATAATTATAAATTATCTGTGTCTAAATCACACTAGTTTGCTTTGCAAACTTTACATAATGTGGTCTGGTACTTCTGTATTTGACAGGGAGATTTAAGAAAAAGAAAAGTTAAGAGCAGTTATTGATAGTCTTTCCAGATACTGAGCTTAACTCAGGCATAGGGAAGGTTAGTTTGGAAGGGAAACAGTGTTCCCTGAGGAGAGACTGACTGTAGGAACCACTTCCCCACTGTCAAGGCCAGATAACTGGTCTGGGTGTTCCCCAAGCATGTGGCTTAACACCTGATTCTCAGATGATCAGCTCTGCTTGCCTCGGGGGCAGGTCTGTGTTTGTATAACCCTGTCAGTGGACACAGATCCCCTTTCTTCCCGGTCCCTTCAGCTGGGCTGTGTGCTACAGCTGCTGTCCCAAGAGGGCAGGACCCCCTCAGAGCTGACTGTAGTTACTACAGAGTTACAAGGGCTGCCACAGGTAAGGGGGGAGGACACTCTAGTCTGACACATTCGGCCCCATCAGGAAACGAGATCCAGACAACTTCCCCCAGCTCTGTCCATACACCTGAACAGTTCATCCAGGGTCAGGTAATCCTGACGTGATGGTGCTTCTCTCCACAGACATCGACGAATGTGAGAGCAGGGACACCTGTCAGCACGAGTGCAGGAACACCCTGGGCAGCTTCCAGTGTGCCTGTCCCTCGGGATATCGCCTCATGGCCAACGGCAAAACCTGCCAAGGTACGGACAGGGGGCAGAGCTGCAAGGAAGCAGGACAGGGCTCAGCCACCTCCCTGAGCTGGGCATGGGAGAGCATTCAAAATTCCAGTTTTCAGAAGTTTTATATTCCACGCTTTAATGTTCCCTAAAGCAGCAGCAAACAAGACAATTGCACCTTCTAATTCTCTGAAGTTCCCCTGTGAGCTCACATTACACACTGAGCCCCAAGCTCCAGGGTCAGGCACCCTCTGTGCTCTGCTCAGCCTTTACCCACTTTGGTGTCTACCCTCTAATTCTACCAACAACTGATCCCTTGCATGTTTTTCCATCCAGATATTGATGAGTGCCTGGAACAGAACATTAATTGTGGATCCAATCAGATGTGTTTCAACATGAGAGGCAGCTACCAATGCATAGACACACCTTGTCCACCCAACTACCAGCGAGAGCCACTTTCTGGGTAGGTTTTATTTTCAGCCCTTTTTCACCCATCCCAAGCTCAGACCTGTCTTTGTTAAAGAAGAACATTTTAAGTTTGCCAGACACCAGCTGATAAAGATCATAGAATCATAGACTCATGGAATGGTTTGGGTTGGATGGGACCTTAAAGCCCATCCAGTTCTACCCCCTGCCATGGGCAGGGACACCTTCCACTAGCCCAGGTTGCTCCAAGCCCCGTCCAACCTGGCCTTGGACACTTCCACAGCTTCTCTGGGCAACCTGTGCCAGGGTCTCCCCACCCTCCCAGGGAACAATTCCTGATATCTGAAACTCTCTACTGGCCTGACTTGCTACCAGCTTCAAAGCATCAAGTATATTCTTTTAGTTGTGAAAATAATGCAACAGTTCCTGATAAGTTTTGTTGTTTCCCTCTTCTGGAAAAAAACCCAACACATTAATGTCTTTTAGTTTTTTAACATACTCTAAGAAATAGCTTGATTCATAGTCAGAAACCATCTTTTGGGATCAAACTCAACTGCAGTGACATTTAAGCTGACGTGGGTCACGTCCTTTGACCCTTGTTTGTTTGCACTGACAAGCAGCACTAGCAAAGTTCTCCTATTTTAAGTTTTGATTAATAGAAGTAAAATTTACTCTGCCCTTCATTCCAAATTCTTTAAGATCTAACAGACACCTCAAATGGAGCTGCCCAAGACATTTTAAACCGGCCCACCTGCTCTACTTTTAAGAGCGTGGTCACTAAAACATACACCCTGGACTTCTATGACAAACATAGCCAGTGTATTTCTGAGCTGATCATATTGAGGGAAAACGGGACAGTAAAGGGGCTGTAGCTTTAAAGGAACAAAGGATGAGCACGTGACAGAGAAGTTTTAATCTGCAGCAGGGTAAGCAGGGGAGAGTTTCTCCTCTAAGACCAGTCGCAGCACTGAGGATATTGTGCCTTGTCCCTGAGCTAAAGTCTTCTGCTTCTTCCCAGGTTCTGTCTCAAGAACTGCCCGGCCAACGACCTGGAGTGTGACCTGAGCACCTACGCCCTGGAGTACAAGCTGCTGTCGCTGCCCTTCGGCATCGCGGCGGGGCAGGACCTGATCCGGCTGGTGGCCTACACCCACGAGCAGGTGGTGCACCCCCGCACCACCTTCTCCATGGCGGAGGAGGACCCGGCCGTGCCGTTCGCCCTGCGGGACGAGAACCTCAAGGGGGTGGTGTTCACCCGGCGGGCGCTGCGCGAGCCCCGGACGTACCGCATGGGGGTGAGGGCCCTGTCCTACGGCGCCGACGGCAGCCTCGAGTACCAGACCACCTTCATCGTGTACATCGCCGTGTCCGCCTACCCCTACTGACACCCTGGGCCACACGGGGCACTGCTGCTGGCATTTCAAAGGGGTGCTACGCTCTGCTCCTTCCCCGAGGCTGCCTCCCCAGGCCCGTTGTTCCAGTTCAAGAGGAAAATCCGTGGCTTTGAGGAGCTGTTACCACTTGCTTTATTTATTACACTGGAGTAGTCATTTTCCACAGTATGTTCTGAAAACCAGCAGGGAAATCCACGTGGTCAAAGCAGTAAGGAAGGAGCAGCCTCCATTGAAAGCAACTGAAGAAAAGCCTGACCAGAAGAAAACAAGTGGTCTGCATGTTTTAAAGGTTGCAAAGTGTTTTACCATTTTATATCTATTAGGTTTTTTCCTTCTCAACACCCAATAGAATTAGGGCTGTGCTGTACTGTGTCGTGTGCTTCAAACCACCAAATGCCACCGTGCCCAGGGATTGCAAATGCTGAAACAAATGATACTAAAGTCTGTTTTCAGCCAACAAATCTACAGGAGAATTGGAACTGGTACCTTTGGGTTCCATGCAAGTGTAGAGATGTCACTATTTTTTGGAAGAAAAAACCAACATGGCTACTTGTACTTTATCCAGCAGGTATTTTATAACTTGTTTTTACTCTGCCACTCTGGTATAGCCATTTATTTAACCCATTGCAGTACTCCCAACTCAGTCAAGGTGCTGGGTTTTTACGCACATGGAACATTTTTCTCCCAAGGTGGTGTAAGTTTGGTTCAATAATGTCAATACACTGTACACAGGTAATTTTGCCAAGATGTATTCTATTTTTATGGACGTGTATATATGTGTTTTTTTCCTATGTGTATTTTCTATGCAGTATCTCAAGAGTGTTTTACAGTTAAGTTTGCATAAAAGGACAATGTCAGTGCAATGAAAATAATCAAAATAAAGGTTCCCATTACCTTTGAGACTGCTGGGAGTTTTATCTTTGAAAAAAATTTCTTCCCCTTTGTAAAGCTCTTTCCTTGAGTTTCAGGGGAGAGTGCAGAAGGTATCGTGCCCAGCAAACCAGGGAGCAGCTCCAGCTGTTTTCCCTCTTCCTGGCACTCAGGGATAGTAAGAGATTATCACCAGCATTAAAGTGTATTTTTAGCCCCAGGGACAAATTGCTTCCCAATAGAATTTTGTCTGTATTATTGAATAATATTATCTCTAGTGAAAGATCCACCAATTTTCCCCTAACCTTGCTCTTTGTTCCCTTTCCATTGCACCAAGTGAGACAGTCCTGCAAAACAAGGATGACTTAAAACCATTTTGCTCTTTATACAAATCTACATGAGTGTCAGACTTCAAACAAAACAGGCTTGCTTTTTGGAAGCCTGACTTGAAAAATAAAAGCAGATCAAGGAAAACAAATTCCATGACAAAGACATGAGGGGAGGAGAAATAAGAGTGAGCTGTAATAAGTATGGGTAATTACCTCAGTGTCTTTTAAGGATGAGAATCACACTGAAAATGATCTCCTTAAGGGACTCTTCACTCCACCCCCAGACAACAGGAAATTTCTATTCTGAGATGTTTTATAGGGAGGAAAACCCCCCACTCCATAACAGAGTGGAGAGCCTTTAAAGGCAAATCTGTTACTACTTTTAGGGTCAGTCACCTACCACATGGAAGTCACCGAAGCACTGACACATCCACAGCTCCTTTCCCCTGTCTGCCTTCTCATCCCGTGCTTTCCAGGAGCCCAGCTCAAGGAGCAGCTGCTTGTCCATGTGGAAGCTGTTGGTTGATGCCACAGACTGAGGGCCCGGTGAGCTGTGGGTCACTGGGAGCTCTCTGGCTTTCACTCAGGGACTGGTTGGAGGGAAGTGCTGGATAAAGGAGAACTTGTGGCATGTCTTTCTCTTCCTTGGACATCTTGATCTGTGTTATGAATTTCTCTTCTGCTCTATTAGAAGAATTGCAAACATGGTAATTAAATATCAGAGCAACTCTAACACCACAAGCTCCCTGACCCTGTTGCAAACAGGCTGGAAAGGCTGCTGTTAATTATCAGTTTTTCTGGTCGAAGCTGAGAGGCAAGAGGCAGGTTAGTATGTGTTTATGTGCCCATAAATGCAAATTTTAAATTTCATAAATACAACAAATATTCTACTGTGTTTATTATCACTTTAGGTAAGGCTGACCAAACTCTGGATGCAATTTTCAGTGGCTAAGGGCTGTACAGTCACTTTGTCATTAGTCTGCAGCAATATTTGCACTGTGAAAGGTTCACTGCAATCCTGTGGAAGGCTGATTTGGTCACCATATCATTTATCACAAGACAATTTGCAAATACCCTCCTGTCAGGAACAAACCTATATCAAATTCTATACAAAAGGAAATACAGGTGAAAATTGGGATGGAGAACCTGCAAACAGTTAATTCTGACTAACTGCCTGCAGGTACAGTCCAGACTACCCCTGTGATGCTGAAAGGGAACTTCTGGCTTTAAACATTGTGATATATTTTAATTCAGGACTGAATGGAAGAATGTTGGCCATTAATGACCATAGTTAAAGGTCTGTTCATTTTTCAGCTTGAGGAACAGAGCCCTGGAGGGCAGAGACCTGGAAACCACTGTGGAAGGAAAAGGGGTGTTTTGCATTTGGAGGGAGTGGTGAAAGGCCCCAGGTAAAGAACTAGGAACCCTGTTAAGTAGTTAAATCACAAACGTGGTCTATCCCAGAAAGAGCAAAAGGCCCTCTGGAAATACCTACTTAATCCCAGAGCCAGCACTGTCTAACACTGACTTGAACTCCCTAACACTTACCATATGAGTATATGAGAACCTGAAGTTCTTATTAGAAGAAAAACACTACACCAAATAGTTCAAAAGGAGGTCCTAGGGAGAGCAATTACTGTGGAGTAGTTCAGAGATGTGCTGAACACACAGTTCTGCCATCTTCAGTGCTGCCATCCTTCTGTAGGAGCCTCCTGTTCCACTGCTCATTGGGTTTCCTGGGGCGGCATTTTCTCCTGCCCCTGTCCCTGAAACACAGCCCTGTGACAATGGCTCCTTCCTCTGTCCCTGGGCCTCACCCAGGCACAAACATGGCAACATTTAATTAATAACACTATCGAGATCCAACACGACCCGGGAAAGATGGTAAAAGCGCTTCTATCCCCTATGGAGATTAATTTGTACATCCTGGTGATTTCAGTGTGCCAGCTGGTGGCATTCCAGCAGCTGGGCACACCAGTCTCCTGGAGCTCACCCTGGTGGGCATGCCTTAGGTACCCAGTGCTGCAGCAATGCCTGAGAGCACTCAGCCTGTGCCTGTATTCCAGGAAAAAATCCTGCTACATCCAAGCCTTTGCCAGAGTACAACCAGACTCCCTTTTCCTTCCACAAACACTCCTTCTTTAATAAAGCTTGAAGGAAACTACATGCTAAAATACAGCACTTGGCAAAAAAACTGTGTGATTCCTTCCAAATCTAAGTTTTAGGAGAAGAATAAGGCAGGAAAAGGAATTCAGGGATGAAACCAGGGCCAACCAGGGCCAGTGAGGATAGAAAATACACACCCACCACATGTGAAAAGGTGACCCCAATACACCATCAGGTTTCTGTACCTCACGCCCACTGGCTGGGCAAGTGAGGCACATGGGAGGTCTCCAGGAACCAGAGGCCAGTAAGGAATATCCCAACACACCTGTAGGGATCCAGCTTGCCCAGCCCTTGAGAGAGAAAATCCACTGAGGTTTGGTTTTCCTTCACAATGGCTGAGTTAAAAAGCTACAGAGTGGGCACAGTAATGAATCCATGCTGGATGCACAGCCCTGAGGGTTAAAGGGAAAACAAGTTACCAGGTGAGAAGGATGCTCAGGACAGACCAGAGCAGCAGTGCTTGACTGAGGAAAGGCCACTTGCCAAGTAAGACCCAGACAGCAGGAGCAGAGCCGGATGGTGAGTAACGCTGCCGTCATCGCTCCCATTGGCGTGGCAATTCCAGGCAGGACTCTGCTCCCGGGGTCTGAGGGGGAGCTCTGCTACCCTTTCACTTCAGAGGCATTTCTAGTTCTGGCAGCTCCAATCCAAGGCTGCTGCCAATACAAACTTGGCACGGCCCAACCTCTGAAATCCCCAGATTAGGTGGTGGGGCTCCGCAGGCGCACATGGGCGGAACAGGACACGCTGGGCGAGGGATGCGGGGACGGCCCCCACAGGGGATGAAAAGAAGCCACCTGGCACATTTCCAGTTATCCCTGCTGGGATCCTGGGATGTGTGGATGGGTGAGGGCTGCTGGGCAGGGCTGTGCTTTGTTTCTGGCTCCTCCAGCCTTCTGGCCTTTGGCCTTTGCTTCAGCGGAGATTCTGACTGGGAACAAAACCCAACGGTACCATCGGCCATCACTCAGCACCACCCTGGAGTCTGGAAACCTCAAACACCTTCAGCACCGACGTTCATTGATGCTGAAGAGCCTCAGTGACTTGCTGAAGTGCAGCTGTATTTCCTGCTGGGAAATCAGAGACAGTTCCAACTCTTGCATACTCAGAAGTTCTCCATTCATGTGGAACTGTTGCTTCAGGACACCCATGGCTTTATTTGTTCTTTGTATCCCTGGACAAACTTTGAGGCACAGGGTAGTTCTGGGTGTGAGCTGGAACAGAAAGGACGCACCAGAGAGTGGCAGCTGATGGCCAGAGCTCAGTGGGGTGTTAGGGATCACATCTCCAGCAGTGCTGCACTAATAAACTCCACATCCAAGCAGTGTATCCAGCCATGCCCTGGGAATGATGGTAAATGTAATCCCTAACTGGCTGCAGGCTTTTATAAACACATTTGCATGTCTGGACACACTTAACTCGGCTCCAGTCACTTCTCAGATCATCGGGTTCAGCTTTCCACGTCTTCCACCCACAACTGGTGCCAGATTCTTCTGCTTTGATACATTTAGTATTAGAAAGGGAAAGAATACTTACTTGCAGATAAAAATATGGATAAAAAGAATTGTTCTTTAACACACAGATTCAAATGATAATGTATGAACAGCCAAATGATGGGGGCATCAGAAACACCACCAAGCCAAGGGGCTCTTCAGATTACAAAGCAAAGCTTAAGAAGTGCTCTGAAGTGGTGATGTGCAATTGCTGCAAGGAGAAGACACTCTCAAAGGATTTTTCACCCTATGCAAGGACTATAAAACTGGGGTAATTTTGAGACCAGGTTCAGCTAATTTCTTGAACAAAATGTTTAAGAAGCAAGAGGGTTTTTTAATATAATATATATATAGCAAACACAGCACTTGCATTAGAAAGATTTCTCCTAAAATGGGAAGAGCTACCACACAGGAGTGAGGATTGCACAGCTCCTGTGGTTCTTGATAGCTTCACTAAGTGGCTTGAAATGGCTTCCCTAATAACAGCTTCTCATCCCACTTGAAGTTACAGACTCGTTTACATACAGGTCAAGAGAAGACACCTTGAGTAGAATCTCTCCCAAGCACAATTTAAATAAATATATACCTGTATACAGTCTATGGAAAAGCACAGTACATCTGATGTGCAGAGCTCACCTGGAATCCAGGGCGGTTCAGCCAGCTAAGGACCCAGCCAAGCCCCCCTCCAAACCTTTGAACATCTCACTGAGCAGCAGGCCCACTCCCACAAAGCACAGTCCTGCCCTCCTGCTCAGATCACAAGAAGGGTCTCCAGGGAGCACCTCAGAGGTGTCGAGAGGTCTGGACTGCACAGGTACAGTCCAGCCCATCATTAAAGCAAGGCCCACCTCTCTTGCTAATCAAAACTGCAGCACAGCCACTGGCAAACAAAAAGTTGTGTGTAAAAGCTTCAAAAAAGGAGTATATTCACTTTGGGGTCTCCAGTTACAGAGGCAAAACCCATCCCTGAAGGAAATACTCCTGTGAGTATCCCCAGTCACCACTGTCTCACAATGTCCAGGTTCCTCTCTCTATCGGCCTC